AAGGTTATTAACAATCATTTTATAATTAATAATATTTCTATTAATAAAATTATATTAGAAGATGTTATGAAATTCTGTAAAAAGGCCGATAAACTCTTTAAAATCGACGCTTAAACCTAAATGAAATTACTTAAATTAGTATTATACTAATATCTTTCAATAAGTAGGCTCTAAAGTCCTACCCCCGAACCGTTCTTATAATTTTAAATTCGAACTCTACCTAGGAACTATACCCCTAGCGGCCTACGGCTAACCTTCTAACCCTGACGAACTAAATATAATTAAAAAATAAATTAATGATAATTTTAAAGAAATCTTTATTAAATCTTCGTAATTAAAAGCCTTTACCCCTGTACTATTCGTAAAAAAACTAGGTAAAAGAGTCCCCGTTTATATTAATTATAGAAATATTAATAATATAATTTTAAAATCCTATTACCCTCTCCCACTTATTAAAGAAACCCTCAATATAAGTTGTTATACTAAAATAATTATTAAATTTAATATTATCGCCGCCTTTAATTATATTCGTATTAAATAAGATTACGAATAATTAACTATTTTTATTACGTAGTTCAACTTATTCGAATCCCTGATAGTACTATTCGGTCTATAGAGCGTACCAAGCGCTTTCTAGAATTATATCAATAACGTCCTATATAATATTTTTAACGTCTATATAATTATTCATTTTAATATATATTTATTTATTCTAATAACCTTCAGGATTACGAGCACTATATTAATAATATTTTCGACCGATTAATTAGGACAGGCTTTAACGTTAATACTAATAAATACGAATTTTATATAATATATACGAAATATTTAAGTCTAATTATTACCACGAGTAGTATTAAAATGGACTTAAAGAAAGTGAAAATTATTATTGAATAAATAATCTTAAAATTTAAGAAATCTTTATAATCCTTTTTAAATTTTACGAAGTTCTATAAACGTTTTATAAAGGATTTTTCAATTATAGCAACCCTATTTTACAAATTTATTAAAAAAAATACTATATAGACGTAGAACGATATCTATTAATATTTTTTTTAAAATATTAAAAAAAACTTTTATAGAGGGACCTATATTTAAAATTTATAATTGGATTAAAATGACGGTCGTAGAAATAAATACTTCTAATTAGGACGTAGGAAATACCCTCTCCTAATATAAGGACGACGGCGTCCTTTACCTAGTAATTTACTTCTTAATAAAATATACGGCCTAAAAATATAATTACAATATTTATAATAAAGAATTATTTGTTATTATTAAAATATTAAAGGAATAGAAGCTAAAATTCGAGGGAACTTAATAACCGTTCGATATTTTAATAAACTATAAGAACTTATAAACCTTTACAACCAATAAGCAATTAATTTAACGCTATATATAATAATCCTAATTTTTATTATAATTTAACTTTCTAACTAAATATACCCCGGGTTCGAAAAACCTCCGACCTAATTCTTTAAATTATAAACCTAATAACCGACCCGCGGGTATTAAAAACGACTGATTAGTTGCTTATAAAAAATTCTATTAGACCCTTCATAATTCGAAGAAAATTATTTCGAAGACCCTACGGCTAATTTTTCCCTTTACTTACTAAATATTAATAATTTTAATAATAAATTAACTAACGATTTAATTCGGGTAAACTACGAAATTTTTATATTTTTATAAGAATTAGTCTCTTATTTAACGGACGAAGTGAAGTATTAATAGCTGTTAATAATTAAGAAGGTTTTTTACCGCGCCTTTTTAAAATATTACGTCGTTAATAATATTACGAAATAGTAGAATAGAATTATTATTAACCTTTATAATAAAGAACTCTAATTTTAATTAATTAATTATTAATAAATTTCCTAAACGCGGGCTACCCTAACGGTAACGCTATATATAAATTCTTATAAAACGAATTCTATTAAAAAGGTATATATAATAATATAAAGATTTTTTATAAAAGCTATCTCTTATATATAAAAATTAAATTAGTAAAGTAGGGCTCCGCTAATTATTTTAAACCTATAGCCGTATTTTTAACACTATAAAAAGATATTATGATTAATTACATTACCCCGCTACTAGGAAGTACTTACTTTAATTAAACTTTTAAATATATTGTTATCGTTATTAATTATTTAATTAAAATATAATATTATATCCCGATTATAACCCTAAAAGCGGAAGAATTTATAAATTATTTTATCGACTATATTTATTTAATTTACAGCCTATTAAATAGCGTCCTATCCAATAAAAGCACCTAATTCGTATTGTATTTCTAATTTATCTTCTATAAAAAACTATCTATTATCCGCAAATTAATTTCCGCTTTCTACCCTTAAATTAATACTTAAACCGAAAGGATTAATATAAAAATAAAATAATTCTTACAATTTTATATTGATCAAGTATAAATAAAATTAAACGAAATAATTAACAATCGCGGAATTTACTAATAATAATACTATATTATCGATAATAAACGTCTCCCCCTTCTTCGCTAACTATAATTATTACCCTTAAATAGATACCGAACCTCGTATACTATTCCCTTCCAATTTATTACTAACCTAATTAAAAAAAATATTATAAATTTTCTAAACTAGCGGACCGCTTCTAGAAAATTTAGGACTTCGTAATCTAATAAACCCGTCGTACCTAAAAACAATACGAAAATAACGCTAATAAAAAACGTATCGATTCCCCTAAATACTACCCCGGCAATATAATTTTATTAAATATAATAAACCTCGCTAACGGCTACCTATATTTTAAATTTTCCCTTCGTTAAGAAAAACTATTTAAAATTATTCGAACCGAATCTTATACTATTTACCTCGCCCTACTAACTAATATAAAATATTTACTAATGTTCTATATTTTTATAGTATAACCGTAGTTTAGCAAGGGATTGCCAAAATAAAATACATTATCAGATATTAAAGCAAATAACAGCCGTATTATAATTCGAACAGATAATTAGGATGAATACAAAGAATAAGCTTTCGAAAAATTTACCGACTACGCCCAACGGGGCAACAATTTATATTAGTATTACTACATTAAATAAAAGACTGGAAATCCAACCTAGGAGCCTATTAATAATATTATTAATTATAAGTACCACTTATAGTAATTCTATTATAAGAACCCGAATAAACCAATCCCTTTAGAAGTCTAAAACCTCCTATACCACCTCGCATCCAATTCTCCAACCCCCACCCCCACTCTAAAACCTTTACGCCAACGCTCCCTAACTCCCACTCCCGAACCTCTAACTCCCGCTCCCACCCCCAAACCTACGCGCCGACGCTCCGCCCGCCTCTAACAAAAAACCGCCTCAATTATTAATATAACGGGGCCGCTTCCGGACTCGGTTACAATAGTAAAACTTAATACCGCAATTAACAAAGAAATAAAAAACAAACTAGATTTAATATTTAATAGGATTATACGACGTTTAATAAATATATAATTAAAAAAGTTACCTCCAACGCAATTTATAAATTATAATAGAATAATATAAAGGGATAAATCTATTATTATACATATATATAGATTTTTTTTCAATTCTACGAACTTCTTTTAAAGGGGGATAGTATTATAAGGCTAGCCTATAATATAATTATACTACATTAACTGCATATATACTATACTAGAGCTAGTACTATAGTCTAAAACTATATACTTACGTACTAATTATATACTCTAATTACGTACAGCCTCATGTACGCGCGCACGGACTGGCCTACCTAAGCTCTCGCCTATATAGCCAATCCTCTACGCATACTTCCCTTTCTCTCCTTCGTACAATAACGTACATCTTACCCTACCCCTAACGGTGCCCTCTCGCCGCATGATAAGCTACCTTAAAGCAATTATCCTATTTATACTAATATTTACCCAATTTAATTACATAATAATAAATATTACCAACCCCCTTAAATCTAACTTCGAATTCAATCTTTTAACGGCTTCTCTTACGAACCTAATTAAAAAAGGTACGTTTATCTATATCTATAAATATAAAGCCTTCTAGCACGTTGGAAGATGAGAGTATTCGCGGGATGACGACGTAGTTAATATACTTAATAAATTGCTAAGCATTAAGGTAATTATCTATAATATTTATAAATAAAGTAAGGGAGTTAAAAAGATAGCCTTAATACTAGGGGTTTATTTACTTACATACAAGATCAATATTGCTAAGAATCAACTTTATCTTTACCATAGCTAGATTGCTAGGATTTAGTTATAAGGGAAGGTTATAGGGGGAAAAGAAAAAGATAAGGGAAAAAGATAGGGTACAATAATTTCGAATTTACAATGCTCTGGGGTAGCAATATATCTCCCCTACCCAAATTGGCGGGTATATATATACTTAGCATCAGGCAGAAAAATGGCATATATGTGCCTATGCCTAGCCTAACCGGATCTCAATTTCGCGAGATAATACGGTAGGTATTCCGAATACCTAAAGTCCGGATTACCAAGATTTTCTTTATAATCGCATCGGAGTTAAACACATTAATGTCCACGATAATCGGAGATCAGAGGGCAAAGCGGAGACAGAAACAGCCGTTAAAACAAGTGGGGGAAGAGGGGCTCTCGTTCGGATCTGTCTTATATTCCGTTCGTGAACCTCACTCACTCCTTTTCCGACTTGATAACAAATTGTCGACGAGCCTCATGCAGACAGGAGGAACATATCAATCAAACTTCTCGCTTGCTTTGATCACAAGACTTAACTAATTCTATACCTGAACTCCAATATTGTAAGTCCATCGATATATATTCAAACCACCATCGGTATTTCCCATCAATTACAATCTCCCGTATCGTAAAATCAGCAAATACGTCTTCGTCCACAACCATCCGCTCCATCAACACCATCAACTGCGCCTCAACACAGCACAGCACAACCCCCCTTCGATTACCAAAACGACACCAACTAACACCCGCAGCCTCATCAAAATTTCACGATGGCTCCTCCTAGCTTCCAAAAAGGCAACACAGCCCTCATAACCGGCGGCGCCTCCGGCATCGGCCTCGCCCTCGCCACCCGCCTCTTGTCCTACGGCCTCCGCGTGCTCGTCGCCGACAAAGATGTCTCCCGCCTCTCCTCATCTCTCTCCCCCGCCGAAACAGAAACCAAGGACCTGCTCACCACCTTCGAAATGGACGTGGCCAACCTCGAAGACTGGAACCGCCTCAAAGCCACGATCGACGAACTCTTCGACGGCAAACTAAACGTCCTGGCCCTAAACGCCGGCCGGTACCTCCCCACCACCTTCACCAACCCGGACCCGACGAACTTTTACGAGACGATGCAGACGAATCTGTTTGGGGTTATTAATGGGGTGACGACCATGTTGCCGCTGGTCCAACAGACCTCATTGTCCCAGACTTCTTCTGCTGGTCCAAGCAGCTGCAGCTGCAGCATCATCATCACCGGCTCCAAGCAGGGTATCACTAACCCGCCTGCTAATCCTGCTTACAACGCGAGCAAATCGGCTGTTAAGACGTTGGCTGAGCATTTGTCTTTTGATCTTTCGACTTCCCATCCTCATATCTCTGTGCACCTGTTGGTGCCGGGGTGGACGTTTACGGGAATGACTGGCGCAGGAGAGAAGGAGAAGGAGAAACCGGCGGGAGCGTGGTGGCCTGAGCAGGTGGTTGAGTACTTGGAGGGAAAAATGGCGGAGGGCAAGTTTTATGTGATTTGTCCGGATAATGCTGTTACTGAGGAGATGGACAAGCGGAGGATGGCCTGGGCTATGGGGGATGTGGTGGAAAACAGGCCGCCGTTGACGAGGTGGAGGGGGGAGTGGAAGGAGAAGGCGGAGGAGGGGATGAAGGGGTTGGATGTTTAGGTTTGAGCATGGCACGTGAGAGGAGGTGAGATATGTCCAAGGAAATGATTTTATTGCTATGACCTACGATCCGGTGATACTCACCAAATACTGTCTTGATGACGGGCGAAAATGTGCCTCACCATCAAACCTCCGATATCATCGATTGCTCTCCAAGGAAGTCTGCAGGTGAGACCAGTAGGATTCCTGGTAGGGTCCTCTGGTTGGGTTGATCTTCGCCAGTCGTATACCTCGAGAACCGTGGGGCTTGTGGTTAACGCGGAGATAATCTGGCGGTCATGGTTCAAATGGTTTGGTCAAAATATACGTCCCTACCTGTGAAGGTGTCCGGGTCCAGAATGGAAATATCATAGGGAGGTTTGCCATCCCTTGGTCCAAGTAACGACCAGATATGAAATCCAAGGTGATGCTGTGACATGTCAAGGTTAGTAGCAAACTGAAACAACACAAAAGTCACAAGTGCAAAAACATGCACTTGCAAACCTCTGAGCAACCAGGCTTGATGATATAACTTCGGGAGAACCTCCCATGGAGCATTTCACAAGCTTGAAGCGCAGAGGCAGCAAGTTGTATGTGAAATGGCCATTGAGAACAAAAAAACTGTCTCGATTTGTTTTCTTTTTGTTGCTCTGGTTTATCGTAATACTCCTCTTGCCCTCTACCGACCCACGGGTCCTGCAAACGTTCCTCCGCAGCGCTAGCACGGGTGTTGAGAACAAAACCCAGCACTCAAGGTCCTAGACACACGGTCGTCGCTTTGTTGCCAGTCGTTTCAAGTATAGAAGTTGAAGTTCATCGTCGTGGATGCCGTGAATATTCGTCGCCAAGATAGAAAAAGGGCGATATTTGAATGTGGGTATCGAGGCCCTTTTGTCGTCAAGTCGAAGCCCTGACTGCACGGCCACTCCGAACGTCAAGAGGCATGGTATTGCGAGAAGCCATCACACCACCCTCCTCCATTCATCCTTCCGTCGTCAAGTCGGTCGAACAAATTTAGGCGGAGACCTTGGTGGGCTTGGCGAGCTCACGGCCGCGCTTGATGCGCTCAAGGATGGCCTCACGGTCCTTGTCAAGCTTGAGCTTGGTAATGACGACGTTGGAGGGGTGGATGCCGACGGGGACGGAGGCACCGGTGGCCTTGTCGCGGGTAACGCGCTCGACGTGGATGACGTACTTGAGGCGATAGACGGAAGTGACCTTGCCCTCCTTGTCCTTGTTGGAGCCGCGGACAATGGTGACCTCGTCGTCCTTGCGGATGGGGATGGAGCGGACCTGCCTCACGTTAACCTTCCATTCATCACGCTGGTTGTTTGAACAGAGATGACCTACGTTGTACTTCTCACGGAGCTCCTTGGAAAGGGGAGCGCTCATGATGTTGCGACGAACGCTGGAGGGAGCGCTGAAGTGCGCCTTGCGCGACTTGCGGCGGCTGGAGGAAACGGCTATCCCATTGTCAGTATTTCGCTATTCGTTATTTCAATGATTGACGGTGACGGTAGTACTCACAGTTGTTGACCTTGACCATTTTGACTGATTTGTGCCGACCGAGGAAGGATGTTCAATTCAGAATCTCCGCGTTCAGAGGGAAAGAGCAAAAATTTGAAGCCAAGTAGTTTGTGGGTGCAATTTGGCAAAACTGTGGGGTCTGCCAAAAAGCCCTGACCGCCTTCTGCATTGAGGCTGGTCTGTGCTCGGGCTGGTAGAACGGAGGTTGCCGACAACGACTTTTGGGCCAAGGTGTTTCTGACCAGGGTTAGGGGTGGCACTGGGACAAGACAATGGCTCGACTACATGAAGCAACACTCAACGATATTACTGTACCAAGATTGATTATGGCCATCCTATGTATGTAACCAGGGATTTGTACAATATCTATGCACTCAATCATCACCAGTGAGATCAATAACCGAGGCTTCACTCAACCGCCATCTCCTGCTCCCTTCCCTAGCAGTCTGACGTCGGATCTCCTCACTGGTGACCTCGTCTCCTGCTGACCCCCGGTTAAGACCTGGGAACAAGAGACTTCTCTTCGGAGTTGCTCTGGAGCAACAGACACTTGTTTCCCTCAGCGTCCTGCCAACGCTGGCTGCCCGTGTGCTCTGTCCAGCATCATCTTCCACGGCACTCCAATCCCATTTGCTGCCCAAGAGATTACTCCTAGCACTCTCTGCTCGCTGGAACGTCCTTGAAGAAGGTACCGGTGATGACCTCAGAGCTGGCGAACTCCTTTTCTCCCTCGCGAGCTCTCTTCTTGCTGATAGCGAAGGCGAACGGGCAGCACTTGCTCTCGGTCGCAAAGGCGAAGGTGACTTTGTGCGAGTCAATGCTCCGATGGAGGCAAACGAGTCATCGTCATCCGAGTCTTCTTCCTCGTGGAGGCTACTGAGGTCGACCTTATGTTTCTGGAGTAAGAGAGAGCGAGCCTTGGTTCGAGAGGAAGCAACAGGTGCTGAACTCGTTGGTCGGATATCCTTTAGCGATGCCTGAATTGCTCTCTCGAGCTCGTCATCTTCGTCGGTCTCGTCCAGACGGCCATATTTGGTCTGTTCCTTTGTAGAAAAGAGTGTCGAGGAAGCGCCTACCCGGGATGTGGGTTTAAGATCAAAGGTCTTTGACCTACCGCTCTTCAGTGATGCAAGCATTGTTCTCTCGAACTCCTCGTCGTCATCTGATAGCCGGTCAAGCGTCTTACCCGTTGTGGAAGGCAATACCGCGCTCTGTGTCCTGCCAAACAATCTTGACCCAACTTGCTCCCGGGTAGAAGGGTATCCAAAATCTAGGATTGACCTTTGCTTGGTCGGCGTCTTGTCTTTACCAAACGCCGGTCCTTTCCTCGGTGAGCTGGCTAACGCTGATGACTGCGATCGCAACCTTGATGCTTCCTCATCGCGAATGGATCTTTGAGAAGGGTACCGTGTGGGATCTGACGTCGTTCTTGTTGCTGGTAGCCTTTCCTTCCACCGAGCACTCGGCAGCGGACTACTGCCAAGTGGATCTGGTGAAAATGGCCTATTGTTCTCCAGTGGGGAATTTGGCAATTTCTTTCCGGTAACAGATGGACTGGACGAGATAAGAATAGGTTCCTGGTCGAAAAGGCTTGACTTTGCTGCTGGTTGAGAAGATGCGATGTTCTTCGTGATCTTGGTGCTTGCTTGTGAACCTGCGAGTGACCAAGGGTTGCCGGCTGGAGGTCGTGATGTAGCTGCTGTCTTTTTGCTAGTAGTCCGGGAGGAAGATGCCTTTGTAGTACCTTTGCTTGTTGTGGTCTTTCGAGAGGTAGTTGTTGCTGTCTCGAAACGATCTGACGAAAGCTGAGAAAGTTGCTGACTTGACAAAGGAACGTAAGACGACCTGGGAGGAGCAACGTATGATGACCTGGGAGGTGATAAATCCAATGATAAGTCATCGCTCGTTGACTTCGTGACAGTATCAGCAATTGCTGGCACCTTTGTGACCTTGACGTACTTGTCCAATGCTCCAGCCGGCATTCCACCTGTTTGCTTCGTCGTTCGTGCTTTTCTTGTCCCCTTGTTCGCAGCCTTCAACTCCTTTGCTCGTTGCTTCTCCTCCCAGATCTCCACTGTCAGAGGAACGCCCAGTTTAGCAACTGTTTCCGGGATCCAGGCAAGGTCTGGCTTTAATGGATCGAACGGCTTCGCGCTGCTGCCGCCTTGGGTGCTACTTGGCGGTTCACCTTCGGCATCGAACTCATCGTCGCTGTTGAGAGCCAGCCCGCCCCGACCGAAACCCTCATTCTCCTCCTCAGGCTCGGCGTCCAAATCCAGCGGGACAATCTCAATCGGGACATAGGATATCCTCAGCTCAGGAGTCGCATCAGTACTAACATGCGCCCTCCGGCTTTTGATCCCCTTGATAAGCACCGCTTCCTCTTTCTCCTTACGACCGAGATCATCGGTGTCATCATCATCCTCGGACCTCTGCAACAGAAACTGTACAAGCAAACTCGGTGCCAGCACACGGATAAACTTGACAGCTCCCGTCCGATACTCCCAATCAAACGTCTCCCTCACAAACACCCTCAACCCCTCCACATCCACCGCCTGTTTCCCCGGAAACTGCCTCCTCAACCTGTGCACCGTCTCCGGCTTCGACACCACCGGGTGGGTATAATACCTCAACACCTCCAAGCTCGGAAACCCCTCCGGGATCTCCAAAGCCTTATGCCTCGTCCTGAAGAACCCGCTCTCATTCATCCTCAACTCCCTCGTCAACCGCTCCTTCCACCTCTCCAGCGCAGCCTTATCAGCCCTCCTAATGCCACAAAACTCTTTGCCAAAGCCGGCCCTCGCCGCCTCGCACGCGACCTTCACACCACACCCAGGCACGCCCTCAGGCAAATAATCGCCCCCGCTCATCAGCGCAACCAACACCATCCCCTCCCTATCCAACCCATTAATCCCCCCTTCCCTCTCATCCACATCATAAACGCTCACATGCGTCGGCGTCTTGCTACTCCTCGTCCCCTCAGCGCTCCAATTCCTCAGAGTCTTGCGACACCCAAACATAATCGTATCAACATCCTCACTCAGCACCGCGTCCACCAACCCCTCCCTCTGGAGCAACGCACACTCGGCCTCGGCCTCACCAGGCGCATCATGACACATGAACCCAAACAGCCGGATCATCCGCTTGGCCATGGCGTCCGCCACGCCGTGGCTGTTGCCATAGCTGTGGGAGCGCTTGTTGCGCTTGAAGGCGGGTTTGTTGGGGCCGTCGAAGACGAAGAGGGGTTGGATTGCGTGCCCCAAAAGGCGCACGAGTCGATAGAAGAGCGTGCGGACTGCTGGGTTGGAGCCACCCCGCGCGGCGAGGATTTGGAATTGCCAGATGGAGATGTCGATTGCGAGGCGAAGGGGGCGGCCGGTTGTTTCGAGGTGGGTGGTGGCGAGGGCGGTGAGGGAGATGCGTTGCCCGGGGCCGATTTCTTTGTAGATTCTAGGTGAATGTTAGTGTTATGTTCATGCATGCAAGTGGCGATCTCAGTATTGGTTATGTGTTTTTCACGATGTTGCTCACCCTTTGATGCCCATTTTGGTTGTGTGTTTGGGAGTTTGTGATCAATCAGTCCAAGAAGTAATAAAAGGTCAAGCCATGGTAGGAAAGCAATTACGAGCTCGTTGCGCTACTTCTTCTCACCACCAATGGTTCACGGGTGAAGATGCAAACAAAGTGAAGAGATGAAGGACCGTGAATTGTTGACGACATTTCCCTTTCTGGACGGATGTGGGGCGCAGACGTTGGCTCGACTACCAGCGGCAGGGACCCGCCTGTGAAGCGCTGTCAACTATCAAACAAAGATCCCTTTACTAGACACAGAAGACACGGCAAGAACCGAGGTATCTCTGTTAGCAGCCAAACAATAGCCGGCCGGCAGGTGCCCGTCCAACGGCATCTCTTTCAGGCTCCAATTGACCTTCAACTTCACTGAAGCGTTTGTATGCCACGTCCACCATCCATCAACCTTTTCCTGGACCAACTCGAGCTCAAAAGCTCCAATTGACGCGAAACGACCGTTACGATGTTCTGATTACACCAATTGATTCTTTTTTCTCTTCAATCAACGCCAAAATGTCAGCCTCCCTCCCCCACCGAAGCGTCGCCAACATCCGAGCTCCCACTCCCTCCTCCCGCAGTGGCAGTCACCGTGAGCGTGAGAGCTCCAGCCACCGAGACCGAGACCGTGACCGCGGCGAGAGAGGTGACCGTGACCACTCCGGCACATCAACGCCCACGCGTCCAATTCCCACTTTCAACACACCATCTAGTCTCCGAGCAGAAGAGGAGCTCATTGTCATTGACTTCGGCACGCGAAAGGTTCAGGTGGGCTTTGCTGGGGACTCGGCGCCTAGGGGTGTGGTGTGGTTTGGTCCGGAGCAGCAGCGGAGGATTGGTGATTTCAGGGACTGGCAGACGGATTATCAGCAAGATTGGAGGTCGAAAGCTGCGGGAGGTAATTGGGGGAGGGATTATGAGCTTTGGAGGCCGGATGTGAGGGGCTTGGAGTTGGGGCAGGTGGGAGATAAGGTTGAGAAGGCTGTGAGGGAGGCTTATACGAAGTGAGCTTTGACAGGGTGAAGCATTGCCAAGAAGGATATGCTAACATGGATACAGATACATGCTCATCGACTCCCGTCCCCGGAGGATGGTTTGCGTCGTACCAACAGGTCTCCCCATCCCCCTTCTATCAGCAGCTTTGGATAGCCTCTTTCACCGCTTCCAACCACCAACAGTCTCGCTGCTATCATCACCAGTTGCTGTGACCGTGGCCGCCGGTGTCCGCTCAGCGCTTGTTGTCGATCTCGGCTGGAACGAGACGATAGTTACAAGCGTCTACGAGTACCGCGAAGTGGCATCTAAGAGCACAGTCAGAGGAGGCAGGAAGTTGACGGAGGAGACTCACCGTTTCTTAGCCAAGGAACTAGGCCACGTCCAACAAGACAACAAAGACGACAAGCAAGAATATGTCTTGTCCTTCGAAGAGTGTCACGACATTGCAAACCGGCTGGTCTGGTGCAAGCCCTTCAAGGCAGAGAAGACTCCCAAGTCCTCACCTCCACAGCCGGCTTCACCAGAAGGGGAAGGGCTGGCCACCGTTGAAGAAAGCGACGAGGACGAACCGACCACCACCACTACCACTGCCGGCGAGAAACCACTACCTCCACCACCCAAAGTCACCACCGTCCCCATCCGCTCCGGCAGATCCCCAACATCTCTCGAGTTAACCTTCGACCAACTCTCCGAGCCCTGCGAAAACACTTTCTTCGACTCGCAATATTCCCTCTCCAGCTTCGACGACCACGAGACGCCCGTGCACTTACTAGTCTACCGTACTCTCCTCCAGCTCCCTCTCGACGTCCGAGCGCTCTGCATGTCCCGGATCATCTTCACCGGCGGATGCACCACCGTCCTGGGTCTACGCAAACGGATCTTTGACGAAGTTTCCCACATTGTCCAGGAGAGGGGGTGGGACCCCGTCTATGGGAAGGCCAAGGAGCAACTACGGACGAACCCGAAACTGAAGAAGAGGAACGGCAGGCAGACGACAATGAACAACAACAATAACAACACTTCGACCACGCCCGGGGGTGTGTCCCCACCGACTGCTGGTGGAGCCGCAGGAGAAGGAACAGCAGCACCACCAGGTCAAGAAGAAGACGGTATCTGGCACGACGCCGCCAACTCGGTCCCGGAAGTCGATCCGATCGAGGCACAACTTGCTCGTACTAACCCCTCGCCCAACTCCCGCAAACCCCTACACGGCCAACTACGAGCTATCGAGTCCCTCGGTCCCTGGGCAGGCGGCAGTCTAATCACCCACCTCAAAGTACCTACGGTGTCTACGATCGACAAGGATCAGTGGACGCAGCACGGAGTTACCGGGGCAACGGTCAGGGCAGCAGATGTGGAGGCCAAGACTCAGCAAAGACTAAGCTGGAACGCGATGAACAGGGGTGGAAGGGAAGGGAAGGAGCCGTGGACGCTGGGCGTCTGGGGGGCTGCTTGAGCTTGGGGTTCACCGCCTGCCTTTCTTGGCTGGTGACGTCGAGGAGGTGTCTGTCAAGGAAGGAGGTACATGGGGATAGTCTGCAAAGGAAGCTCACCGCCTGCCTGACCTGGCTGGTGACGATGTGTCTGTGGAGGAGGTACCTAGGTACAGGAGGTACAGGGAGGATGGACGAACTGCAAAGGAAGGCGGTGAGAGAGAGAGTGACCGAGCGTTTTCAACAGGAGGGACCTTGACGACTGGACCCTCGGTCATGTTTGTTTGCTTCCCCTAGGTGGAGAGGGAGGCTACTTTGGGATGAGATGGAAGGAAAGGAGATTGTCATTCAGGTTGTCAGGGCAGCAAGGTCACACAAAGAGTAAAATTTCGTAAGCATCCACTTGCGGTTACCCTTGGCAATTTCGAATACCCTGCTTGTTTACTCTCACTTTGCTCTGCCTCGTCAGGTTCCGATTTCGGGTCGTCTTGTGTGTGTGTGTGGCCGATATCGCGTTGCTGGACCAGTTGCTTGAGGGATATGGGCCAGCTCCTTCTTGTCAGGTCGTTCTGGCAGGATGGGATATCGCGTGTCGGACCGCTGGCAACGACCGAGTACCTTTGAGTTGCCATGACGATACCCGTTGTTGGGAACTTCCTTTTCAAATTCGAGCACACGAGACAGGTTGGGCAGGGCGAGGCGCTTGTTTCCTGCATCCCAAGTGGGCACAGATGGTGCTTCCTTATATCAGATCCCACATCACAGCCAAGAGTCTTGGTTTCCCATATCACAGACTGGCGAGTGGTCGTAAGAATACGGCCCAATACATGACACCTTCGGAATACTCTTGCATACATCTACGCGCCTTTATTACACCTTTGACAGAGCATCTCGGAACTCATCATTATATTCTTGGAACAACTTGGTACTCTTCCACACACCATGTGCTCCTCGTCTCAACATTACTCGAGCTGTTGTTCACGTGGTTGGCAGGACGGAGGTTCACCCGAACCGCAAGACGCATGGCTTCCTCGGGTTCAGTTCTTGCCAGATGAAGTGTCATCTCAACCACCAGGTATCTCCAGGATGCTATGGCCATCGTGGTCCTCCGGGACCGAACACTCGCGAAAAAGTTGACCGAGTCCCTGGAGCAACCGACTTCGGCCTGCAAACAAAAACAAATGACGTCGTTGCCCTAATCTGCTCTTGCCTTTTCTCTTCTGCTGAACGATGTTTGCTCAAATCTCCAGGTTGTGGCTCCCCGGCCCCTAGCAGCTTCTGGGTCGTCGAGAACCTGGCTCCTGTCTGTTGTTACTCCACTGGTACCATTGTAGTGTCCTTCATCCCATGTGGCAGCCACGAAAAGCAGTTCAGAAAGACGGCAAGTGCTCCACTTAAACAGGTGGTTGAAACCCGGGCTGCATATGGACACTGAATAAGTCCCGAAGATGTGAACCCTCATTTCCCGAGGGGGGCAGAATGGGAAGTCACGATCGAGACCTTGATGGTCACGATTCTGCCGGGCAGAAACTGAGCCCCGAGTTCGGGTCCTGCCCATATCAGAAAATTTCCCTGGCTCCTTCCTTCGTTTTCTTTTTTCCTCCTTCCACACAAATTTTTACCAAGCGTTCTGCGTTGAAGGATCTTATTCCATCTTCAGGAAGCCACATCGTTTTGACCATCGCGTCCATCACACTTTCCACAACACGAACAACAACAAACATCTCCAAAGGCAGAATTACCCGACACTCTTGGCAGTAGCACTCATTATTCTTTCCACTTGTGGACTGGATCTTGACGGCGTTCATACTTAGCGCGAGAAGCTTTACGGAGCATTCTTACCAACCTTACCTCAGTCACGGTCACGGGCAACAACAACCCCTCACGACTCGCGACCTACCACACTTTCTGCCTTTTGTAGTACTTCTACCTCCCTCTCTTCTTCTCTCTCTTTTGATCTGTAGACGTTCCCCATCGTCCATCTTTTCTCATCACTCCGACATACACACCAACACTACCGGTCGCCTCCAAACCACCGAGGCTTCAGCGAGATAACCACGTCTTTGCTGGAAACAACAAACACCAACCCCGCACTACCTTGTCCTCCTAACCAACTTTTGTTGACCGGAATTTTGCTTTTTGGTCTCTATCCAAAGCTATCTTCCTTTCTTCATTCCATCCTGCCGTCGGTCGACCTCATCCTCTCCGGCATCTCCATCGCTGAGCTTGGATCGATCCGTCGTCATCTCGAGTCACTCAAGCCAACATCAAAGTTTGGTCGTGAGGTAAGTTATTTCAGGTTCAGTAGTCATCTTCAGTCACTCATACTTCACTTGCTTTCACACGTGGGATACTCGAAACACCAACGACGACAACATCTTCAAGTGCAGGTGCGCAGCTGGTACCCCCATTTATTGCTTTCATCTTCTTGGCTTGTCATCAGGCAGGCAACAAACGCACAGACACAAAAGAACATCACTACACTTACAGAAAAAGGGGGAGTGGGTATTGGCAACACTTCACACTCTCAGCATTTTAGGCACCAAACACCACAGACACAGGACACAGGACACAGAGGGGGGAGCCAGGTTTTGGCACAACCAGGTTGTACTCCAGGGGCGGAATGCGAAGTGTGTGGCAGCACTTCATAACATATCTAGGCACATAAACAAACGTGGTACCAGAGGACTTGTTCATCTGGGATAGCATCCAAGATGAATATCATTAACAAAAGACCGGTCCATCGTCCTCGTCACGTCCGCAAGTTCCTTTATGTTCTTTGGGAGATTCAAGTGAACAATCGACCTCTCCCAGCGTATATGGTTCTGGCAGCAAAGCACCTCCTCCGCACCACCAGGCTTTGCAACCATGTCACCATTGTGGTCGAGTCAAGCGACTACAGGCCACTCGACACATATCTCGACTCCTGTCCCCTCTTCCTCTTCTCACAGTTGGAGGCCCAACATCTAACACAAGGTCCTAGCGTTCGGATACCCACCCTACCAGTTCCGGCTCTTATCCTGCCGTATCTGCCAACTGGCGACGAAGAAGTCGTTCTCTATCCGACACTGTTCAGCTGGCATTGTGCCGTACGACACCGCACTTACCACGTGTTTGCGTTCATCCAAGTCAACATGTCTGCTCGCCGATACACCATCGACGAGCTGAAGAAGCTCCACCAGCCTTCCATCGGCAGTGCTACGCTCAAGTTTTCCGGTAATCCCGAAGTTGGTAAGTACACTCTTCACTCTCAGGGCATCGCAAACTCCAAACTAACAAGGTGGCCTTCAGGAAACATCATTCGAGGCTCAGGAAGCGAGTCGTCCGACAACAAACCGCATCTGGTCCACACACCGAGACACTGGGACGAGTCTTCGGTTGCTTCTGAGGAAGTCTTGTTCAAGGGCAACGCCAGCCGCCGCGCCCACCGCGAGGCTACTCGTGATCTTCACCGCGACAAGACCCATCATACAGTCCGAGAGCCTAAGCGTGAAGCCACGCACCGTCACATCGCCACTCAATTTGTGGAAGACTCCAACGCTTCAAACGACGGCGACTGGGTGTACCGTGGCCGCAGCGACTCGGACGTCGCTTCAACCGAACCCATTTCAGCCCCCGGAGGGAAGGTAACTCAGGCTAACGAAGGTTTCAAGCGGTTCTACAAAGCCGTTGTGTCACCTACTCACGTTCGGGTTACCGCTGGAGGACGTATTGTTCCCAACACTCGCGGTCCGCCCTCGCCGACTGCCAAGCGCTCAAAGGAGAGCGGCCTCGACGAGAACCACGGGCTCTCCGAGAAGACAGTTCAGTCCAAGCCGTCGCTGGGCCAGATGCGCTTTACTCAGCCTTTCCCCGTCATTGCGCCATACTTCCCCGGCTGCCCTCCTGGCTTCCAAGCTATCCCCGCTGGCATGCCGTTCATGCCCATGCCCTACGGTGCACAACTTCCCCCTGGATTCCAGTTCATGCCTCAGGCTTTCAACTCTGCCGGTATGGCCCAGATGCCCCACAACAACATGGCAAACAACCAGGACGTCAACGGTGCACAGCCTGCAGGTTCGCAGGCTCAGACTGCTACCGCGGGTGACAAGAACGACAAGGTCAAGATCACTCCTCCTGAGTTCTTTGACCCGAGCAAGCCGTTCATGTTCAACGGCCAGTATTTCATGCCCACTCCACCTGGTGCAACGGCTAACCAGATGGCTGTACCTTCCATGGTTAGTGTCCCTTCTGGCGTGACGGGCATGACTGGACATTTGATGCAGCAATTTCCCGGCAGACCTGGTGGCGTCATGGGCGCCTTCTCCATGTCCAACCAGGCAGTTCAAGGCTCAACCGGTGCTCCTGGCATGAACTACCAAGGCTTCTCGGTTGCCAACTACAAGCCGCCTCCGATTCCCCCGGTCATTTCTTCCATCAAGCCGAGCGACATCACCAAGAAGCAGATTGCCGGCTTCAAGCAGTCTCTCAAGTACCATGAGGATCAGCTTCAGTACAACCGTCACCAGATTGACGAGAAGGAGATGGAGGGAGCCATCCAGAACTATCGCGATCTCATTCAACGTTTTGAGGTCAAGCTCAAGACCGAGCTCGAGTATGAGCAGTCGGTTCTTGGCCAATCCGAGCCCAAGGACAATGCCACTACCGGATCTCAAACCCCCAAGGCTTCCAAGGTTGACAGCAAGCCTGCTGTTGCTGATGACAGAAACTTCTCTCAGCCCATGTCATCTCTGACCGAGAGCCAGTTGAACTCCAAGTTCAACAACAATGCTGCCAGTGAATACACCGAGGATGAGGATTCTCAGCCGGATTTGACCCATCGCGACGACTATGGCGAGATTAGGATGAAGTTCGACCCCGAGGACTCCATGACTTTTGAGGAGTTCCAGAAGATGACTGCGAATCTGCCCCCCGCGGCTGCCGCGGCTCCCGCTTTTTACCCTGGCCGCTTTCGTTCGCTCTCCGAGCTAGAGAGGGCTAGGATGGAATCTGACAGACGCCTGTCTGGCATTCCGGTTGAGGACCCGATTCCGCCCCCTCCCATCGACTATGTGGAAGGTTCTCAGTCCCATTTTCTCGGCATTCCCAGCCACGAGAATCTGAGCTACTTCGGCAACAAGTCAAGCACAACTGGCTCAAACTACGGCGTTCCTTACCTCCTCGGAGCCCTTCCCAAGAACATCGATCCTCGCAGTGCCACCTCCGAGGATTATGTGTACAGCAGACCCTTGACCCAGGATGAGATTCGTGCTCGCTGGCTTTTCCAAAACAACGCTCCCAAGGATGTCAGCAAGGGCCTTCCCGGATATGATGGCAAGCATTTTTACCCTGCTGCTTCCTCATCGGTTGCCGAGTCTACTGTCCCCGACAGCCCTCAGATGCGCTCGCCTCGTTCTGGCGGTACTGCTAGGCCCGATGAGTACCGTCTCACCCGCTCAGACCCTTTCAGGCCCTGTGACCCATTCCACAGGGGCGAGCCTGCTTCGACCTTGGGCGACGAGGACGACTATGGTACCAAGGGCTATGATTCCAGGATCTACAGTCAGTCCGACAACATTCAGCCTCACATTGATGGATTCCACCCCCGTGAGCCGACTGCCGCCTACGAGTCTCGCGAGAGCAGCCTCGATGCTCATTCGATGGCTCTTCAGGATCGCCAGGCGGAGAATGTGTCTGGCGGTGCCAAGCTCTGGCCGGACATGCTGAAGAAGAGCGGTACCAGCAGTGCCTTGTCTTCTGCTACCGCTACCGGTTGGCTGCCTGCTTACCAGAATTCCACGATGATGTCTTTCCCTTCCAGCAACGATCGTTCGCACAGAGTTGTTCCTTCCCCGGACAATGATTGCAGTGACGGAGGTGCAATGCTCACTCCCCTTCCTGAGAAGCGTGGAGAGAACCGCCCCCTGCAGCATGTCAGCTCTCTGGACGATCAGTTCAAGAACGTCACCATCGAGGCTTCTGACCGCCGCAACATGAACAAGATTCCCGCTCCCTTCAACCTCTAAGGAGTCGCGGAAGAAACCAGAAATGCCAGCCACATGGACAGTAATGGTTATTTATGCCATGGGTCAGAGATCACTAATATCAGTCTGCAAAAGCGGATAACACGGATCAAGACCCTTTTTACTGCGCCTGGCCGGAGAGTATGGATCATCGACACAAGAAATGGAAGCATTGTCACATGGCAGGAAGCCTTATTCGAATACAAGAACATGGCGGAAAGCCTTTCGCGAACAAACGACTTCATTATTTCTTGTTTTATTATTGCACTACCCACATTAGTTTTATGGCTCTATGATACGCGGCATAGGCTCTACAAATGAGCATGAGTTCCGCACATATTCATCCTCACAGATGCGTTGTTTCGGCATCTTTAATTAGAGTTTGAAAAAGAGAGTGAGCATCGAGATATGAACGGCAGATTACGAATTACCAGATCATGTAAAGTAGGGTTAGCATAGCACCGAACAATATTGTAGAACAAAAGCATGGCCGATGCAGTGATTGTGTGATTGATTGTGATTGTGTGGGTGATTGCATTTCCATGGTAGAGAAACAACGATTAAGTCAGGGATCGCATCCGGGCTCAATGAGCTCAAACGGAAAGATGTTGAATGCTGGAAGAAGAAGGATGGATCCATGGTCAAGTCATCCTCGAGTGATGACCAAATTAAGTTAGCCATATTTGCGTTCATGAGACGACAAATGAATCAACAAGTGCACAAACCCACTCGTCTTTTAGTCAGGCCGTTCCGTTGGCGTTCGATAAGTAGTCGAAGTCTTCCCAAGAATAGGTCCGGGTTCTTAGCACCAGACTGTATACTGAGAACATGAAAGTCTCACGATCTGACCGGCGGGATATGATAAGAACATGGAAAGGACAGAATCCAAGTCCACAGAGGACAGTGAAATCGCGAAAAACGCACAAGGGTAACCGAAAGACCTGAGAAAACCCAAAAGGTACATGAAACCGGACCTTATCGTGGAAAGGGGGACTCGGAGCCTGTTTTCTCTACTCCCACTCACTCAATGTCCATAAATGTTGCTATGTCTGATACATTAGGTAGACTTGGGGCGTTCGTCTTTGCATGTCCATATGACGGGAGCTACGACGAGATATTTATTGTGTTACGATACGAGGTGTTGATGAGGCACTGTGGTAATTAGATGGCATTTTGGTGCTCTGCTGGCTTACTTATGAACGGTTAACAAAGATACTTTTTTCTTCTTCCTTAGGTTGCTTTACTGGACTTTACTGGGCTGGGAAAAATGTTTAGTATGAAGATGAGGAAGAAGCAGGAAGAAGAGGAAGAAGCAGGAAGAAGAACCATCTCTCTTTTCAGACCAGAAACCAGACCAGGAATATGCGGCGGAGTGTAACCAAGCTCATGCCGCCAGAAAGCCAGAAAGGCAATAATAATGCTCAGTCCCAGAAGTCCCATAAGTCCCAGATGTTCCAGAATCCAGAAGCAAGACAAGACAAGGAGCAACACCGCAACACCGCAACATCTAGAGAAACTAACTTTCTTTTTCCCTCACTACCGCGTCGTTCAGTTAATGAAAGCTAATGAACCGAACTAAATCAGGTCACGTAGACACGTAGACACGTAGAACCGAAGTCCACTCCACCAACCACTTAACTTGCTTAGTATGAATGAACCCCGACCCCGACCCCGACCCCGACCCCGATCCCGTCCGTCGTGAGTTTGTCTTTGTCTATCTATCTATCTATCGATCTATCTATCTTATCTTCCAAATAGTTATGTAGTAGACTAGCATTCGAGCAACTAACTACAAGTCTACAAGTCTACAAGTCTAGTAGAGTAGAGTAGAGATAGTGTAGTGTACATATACACAGTACGCAACGACAGGGACTAGGACTAGGACTACTACTGAGTAGAGGTATCGACAGACAAACAGATAGTCTGCACACGATCTGTAGACTGTGGGCCAAACAAACAAAACCGACACGATAGAAGGAAGATGTGAATGTATGGAATACACCACCTGTCGCTATCAATCAGCTTTTCGTCCTCTTTTTCGAAACTACGTAAGTTCCGGATGAAGGATGAAGAAGATCAAAAGCACCAGACGGACGACCCGTAAAGTAGGCCATACATAGATAGAACTTGTTTGGAAGATGTGGGTCGCTCGAACGGGAAATATCAGTCAATCAGTCAGTGGGTGAAATGCCGACTCTGGACTGGACCTGATGCGAGAAGTGACTTTTTTTTTTTCTTCGAGCCGATGCTACGCCCGTTTTTTGTTATGATCTCCTGAAAAAGAAAAACAAGATTCACAGGGAGAAGAAGTTGAGAAGGAATCAGGAAGCGGTTGTGAATATATCAACAAGAAAATTTTTATTTTTGCCCACCACACAACGCCGGGAATATTCTATCTATCATGAACCTTATATAACCCTCCCACCCTCCTTTACAACCCACTCCGACTCCGGCTCACACAACACATGATATTGTTACAAAAGATGGCGAAACAAACATGACAGATCATAGTCTCATCTGTCTCTATCCATCAAAAGGCTTCCTTCCCAATCCAAGCAAACGCCGATTTTTTTTTGTTTTTCGTCTCGATCTGATCACCCGTCGTCTAACGACATCGCTTTACTTGCGGAAAGCAATATCAAAAGCAGGAATCAAAGTCTGCGCCAGCCAGAAAGAGAAAACAAGCTTGGGGCCAGTCATCAAAAGCTTAGGCACCAGACCCTTGAAGAAAGCACCGGCGCCCTCGTTCTTGGCCATGTTGGTCAGAATGCGGAAGCCAGACTCGGGGTTATCGAAGTTGCGGTTCTGGATACGGGTCTTGATGACGTCGAGGGGAGCCGACACAACGAGCGAGGCGGAAGCACCAGCGATAGACGCAACAAAGTTCTGGAACCACGACGCCTTGTTGTAGTCACTCAGACCAAACAGGAACTCCTTGGCGAACGCGGAACCGCCGAAGAGAGCGAAGGAACCAGGGGCGTTGCGAGCGGCCGTCCAGCCCCAGCCGCGGTACAAGTTGCCGAACCCTTCATCCTTGATGATCTTGAACACGCCGCGGCCCTTGAAGGCCTCGGGGTTGGTCTGGCGCTTGATCTTGAGGACGTCGAGGGGGAGGAGGACGATCTCGCCGATGCCGATCAGCGAACCCGCGGTCGAGTGCATGATGGCCTTGCCCGTCTTCTTGCCAAAGGCGTTCTCAAAGTCCTTGCCGTAGTGCGTGCCGAGGTAGTCGCGGGCGACGGGCTGGCCGCCGTACTTGTAGATGCGCTGGAGGACCTTGTAGCCGGCGGCGTAGCCGAGACCGGGGAAGAGGGAGACGAATTTGCGACCGAAGGGGGCGTCGGCCTTGTTCTTGAAGATGACCTTGTTGAGCTCGGCGGAGTTGGAGATCTGTGTAAATGTATGTCAGCACTGGCATTCGAAAGAAGGTGGCCATCAAGGTTGCTGCTTTAAGCAGTTGACAGGGAGTGGTAGGAAAGTTACGCACCTTGGTCTCGTTGGACATCAGACGCTTAGCGATGGTATCGACCTATGGTAACCAGCAAGGTCATTAAGATGCTCGTCATATTCGCACTTGGTTGCTCGTGTCTTGTTCCTCTCGTTCCTTTTCGTCCTCTTCATCCTGTGGACAAGGACAGCTCCAGCCAGCTACCAGTCCAGATCACCAATGCAACAGCCAGAGCTGCTAGACCAGCCATTGGCCTGTCTCGGTAGCATGGCATGGAGCTTCGAGAGCTTCTCCTCGTCTAGACATATCTAAACTTGACTCGAGAGGAACCGGTGACAACGACAGTGACCAGTGCTAGTGGCAGTAGTGACAACATACAGGATGGAAGATGGCCAACTCGGCGATACCAGCAGAGCCTACATGACAGCAAAAACACATGAATCAGCAACAAGTTCCCAAACAGAGTGACAGACAGACGTCATTGTAGCTTTAGTCATTGCAGAGCAGATAAACATACCGGATCCCAGCAACCTAGCCAGGTTGGACTCCTTCTCCGAACGACCAGCAGCAACAGGAGACATTTTGTCTGTCTGTTTGTTGTGTAGTCGATGTGGTGTTTAAAGATTAAAGATGTATATAACCGCGTGAGGGGTTATAAGAGAATTAAGCTGCAGTGCGTGCGGGGGGGAATGAAGAAGGGCAACTGGCGAAGGATTGCAGAAGACGGACTCGAGACGAGGGAATTGGAAGAGAAAGATCACGACGGAACAGAAAGGATGATTCACAAGTACCAGAGAGAGTGAGAGAGAAGACGGGACGGGGACCGGAAGATAAGAAAACACACAGTACGGCGAGCAAGGTACCTCGGACGAGGGACGGGAGTGGAGGAGGGGGGAGGGACTGGGATGGAGTCACTGGCTCACTGGAAAAACGGGGTTGAGTCGGGACTCACAACGGCCGAAATTTTTTGAACTTTTTTTTCCCCCAAGAGCTGCGAAATTCTCGCGCTAACGAGCTCCGACAGCGGCATTTACGAGTGTAACCCTTGCCAAACCAAGGCACGCTAGCACTTATCTAGCCTTGAGCTAGCCAATCCCGGGCTTATCGGACCTTAGCGCCAGCCTTATCTGAACCACTGCCGCTGCTTGGCGTTGGCGTGACCCGAGTGTTCGGCGCTGACGAAGGGGAACACCGTGAGTGATTGATTGCACATGTCACTGATCGTTGAGAAATGTTATGACAATGTTTTTGTCTCTATTTTAATAATGCCCAAAACACAACAAACTGATGTTTAATACATCTATGAATGCATCCCATAAACCTAGCCCGTCACGGAGACGGGAAATCAGCCCGCAAATGATCTCCCCATATTGGTATCGCACAGGGCGCATTTCCTCGCCGCCGAAACATCATCACCTCACCATGATCTTGGCTGTAAGCTTTGGTATACCCGGCACCCACATCATTCTCTTGTGCATAAGTAGTTCTCGTCTTCGGGCAGTGCTCGGGCTTTTTCTAGAAGTCTTGTAACAGAGCCAAGGTATCATCGATCCGCATGATCTCCGCCATCAGCAGTTTCTCGTCCTTCAAGAACTTGGCAAACCTCGCGTACGACTCGTCACGCATCATATCCTTCTCCTTGCCCTTGACGTTTGTCCGCTTCGCCAGCGACAACACGTCCTTCTCCTTTTGCCGGCGCACCTCCAGCACCTGCAAGCAGTGCACCATAGTTGCGTAGCACTTGGCGATCAGGCCGCTGTAGGCTTGTTCCGTGTCGCAGTACCACAGGAAAATGGACTTCTTGGGATCGGCCTTGTTGTCGCGGGGCACTTCCTGCGTATGGGCGAAGCCGGCGAGACGCATCTCTAGCATCTTTTGCTGGAGGTCGACCTTACGCATCAGGCTGAGAGACTGAAGGGCTTGCTCGCCTAGCTTGCCCTTGGTGCGGAGGATGCGTGTTAACCTGAGGCCCTGGCGACCGCTCGTCTGCTCGATGATGGAGTCGAGTTCTGTCGCCCGGAGGTTCTCCATTAGAGGCTTGAAGTCGATCGTCCACTCATCCTCTCCGCAGTGACGAACGAAGCCTGGATGACCCTCGGCCAGTAGCAAGAGGTGTTGCCGCAGCTGCTCAGGTCGGCTCATCCTAGCGACTGACGCGTCCCCATTTTCCTTCTTAGTGTCCATCTCTTCGTCACTGTCGCTGTAATCACCATCCTCTTCGTCATCGTCGCTGTCGTCTTGGTTCATGAAAGGAATCTTGTCCTTGGGAGCAAACGGCGTGAGTCTCTCTGCAGCTGATTTCGAAATCGCCTTGCTTGGAATCTTGCCGATTCCGAGTGTTAGGTCGATCGAGGTCTTGACCTTATCAAGAATCTCGTTTGTTGTGACCGAGGGCGTCTCCTTCTCGCCTTCCGGCGTCAAGGTGTCCATGAGAGGGTCTGGCCTACAGCGCGGAGTGTTCTTCGTCAGTTGCTTAAGCAGTTGACCATAAACGTATCCTGTCGTCTCTCCGAGGGTCTCGTTGACGTATTGAACAAGGCGGCGGCTGCGTAGTTCGACAATGCACTTTTCGTAGTTGATGCGGATAACTTGTCGGGGCTGTAGGAAATGTCAAGTTAGCAACTTGGTTTGGACCCTTGTCCCATGGGAAATAACCTACGTCCAACGCCGGGTCCAAATCCTCCTCCTCTTCCGGAACCCCATTCGTCTCGTTTCCAACCGCCAGCTTCCTCCGCTTGCTTGCTCCTCCATTCTGAGCCAGCTTACGCTTGAGTGTCTTGGACTCCTCGCGCACCTTGCGAAGGCCCTCCGCCACCTTCTGTTCAAATTCAACCTTGGCCTTTGTACCCTTGATGCCGTTGGGAAAGTAAAAGTCCATGACCTCTTTGTGCACTTGCTTCTCAATCTCGTGGGCGCTCTGGAAGGTCTTGCTATGGACGACATCGATCAACTCGGCCTCGATGAGTCGGCAAAGCACCGAGTTAAGTTGTGCTTTGCTCTTAATCACGAGCTCGGGCTTCTTGTCGTTCAGCCATGCGTCGTCGCTGTTGGCCAGGTTGATCTTGGCCTGGTAGGCGGCCACCAAGTCGGAGATTCGGGTCTGTCCGAGGAGCAGGAGATTCTGCATGACGTCGCGGCCGGCGGGGCCGTAGCTGTTATCTACCATTTCGAGGATCTTGCCGGTGCGCACGAGGTTGTAGGCGTAGTCGTGGTTTACTGAGTATTCGGCCTCGCCCGAGTTGGCGTCGACTGTGTAGAAGAGGAGGTTGTGTTGTTGAAGGACGCAGAGGCCATTCTTGACTTGGCGGGCGTTGAGTTTGGAGAACTGGCTGATGAGGCGGATCGAGAGCTTTCCTCGCTGAAAAAGAGTTGCATAGACTCTCTGTGTAAATTGTCAGATTCTACTCAACTGACCGGGTCGATGTTGGTCGTGGTGGTACGTACAGCGGGGAGTTGGCCGTAGAGCTCGTCGACGAGCAGAGTGCAGAACTCTGCTTTCTCTTTGATCTGTGGTAGTCAGTGGTTAGCAGTGACAACCAAGAGGAATGGGTGATACATACAACAGCCATGGTTGGTATCAGTACTCGTATAATCAGATGACGTTTGTTGTTGTTGATGCCGATGTTATAATATAAAGTTGAAGAAGATCTGGCTCCTAGAGATCCTCTCACTATCTCTAGAGCTTCCACGGTTACTACCGATATGGCATGGGAGATCTCCAGGGATTGGTGGGGGAGGAAGTGGAAGAAGAGAGGGTGGAGTCGTGGAATTATATATTAAGTTGACCGAAAGTCAGTTTTGTATGGTGGGGGACTACCTCTGTCAAAGGTGTTCAGTGGAATGCAATGCGCCTGCAATATTCGGTGGTGACTGTTCGACCGCGGGGAAATCCGAATGACAAAATGATACAAATTATTTTTTTTCGAGTCGCATGCGCGGCAGGGACTCTCCAGTTGCAGTCCGCGCGTTAATCGCTACGGGCGCGGCAGACCACGCTAGCCCCTGGGGTCCAGTCTACCGGTAGTACAAGAGGTACGTACCTTTTGTACCTAGCCCAGCCCACTTTGAAGAGTTGCCCCGACGGCAATCGAGTCGTGGAAACGACAACCCCCGAATCCATCCGCCCGGCAACCTGACCGAAATGCTCTAGAGATGAAACAACCGTCCCTTTCACCTTGTCCTCACCGAGAAGACCCGGAAACTTCCATCTGATAAAACTGGGAAAGGGGTCCCGTCGCCCACTGTGCTGGTCTTCCTTGGCTTCCGTCGTCGTTGTCTTTAGCGGATCCAGAGCTTCAGTGAGATCGCGGGGCATTTTGCTGCATGTTCGCGCCAATGATGAGCTGTGTTTCACTGCTGACCACTTGAGACCGCTGGGTGATGGCCTGTGCCAGCCCGTTGTGCGGCTCCCGAGTCGTGCTTGGCCGGGTGCTGACGCTTTGGAGCCTTGGAGCTGGGCGAGCTGGCAGTGCTGTACAGCTGTGCAGTGGTCTGTGCGCTGTTTGGGCAGCTGCCGGCCGCACGTGCACCGGCAACTGGGGCGCTGGGTGCCAGGGAATTTTCGGAGTCGGAATTGCTACACTATACTGAGACTACGTGAAGCTCCTACAAGCAGTGCTCGCTGCGCAATCATCTAGAACCGTCAATTGGACGACATCGACCCCTCCAACCATGATCTCCCGATCGGCTCTCACGAGGGGAAGCCAGCTGGCCCTTCGCCGCCCTGCCGCTGCGAAGACGGCCCAGCGCGGCTTTGCTGCTGCTGCTTCTCCCGCGGCGTCATACGAACCCACCACCATCGCCGGCGTCAAGGTTGCCTCGCGCGACGATTCCGGTCCGACCACCCGCCTCGCCGTCGTCGCGAAGGCCGGTACCAGATACGAGCCGCTTCCCGGTCTGACCGTCGGTCTGGAGGAGTTTGCGTTCAAGGCAGGTTCTGACGAAGAGAGAGAGAAGACGCCCATGAGCTAATAATTGGCACCTTGGGGGGTAAACAGAACACCAACAAGAGAACCGCCCTCCGTATCGTCCGCGAGTCCGAGCTCCTCGGCGGCCAATTGCAGGCCTACCACACCCGCGAGGCCCTCGTCCTCCAGGCCTCCTTCCTCCGCGAGGACCTCCCCTACTTCACCGAGCTCCTTGCCGAGGTCATCTCCGAGACCAAGTACACCAGTGCGTGATAATACCTTCCCTCCCACGAAACATGGCTGTGTTGACAGTTGTTGCCTTGCCGCCCCATAGCCCACGAGTTCCACGAGCTCGTCGAGGACTGCATCCACGCCAAGCAGGCCAAGCTCGACTCTGCCGCCGTCGCCCTCGATGCCGCCCACAACGTCGCTTTCCACAACGGCCTCGGTTCTCCCCTCTACCCTACCGTCGACACCCCTACCTCGTCCTACCTCAACGAGAACTCGGTCGCCGCCTTCGCCAACCTCGCCTTCAACAAGGCCAACATTGCCGTTGTCGCCGACGGTGCCAGCCAGGCCGGTCTCGAGAAGTGGGTTGAGCCCTTCTTCAAGGGTGTTCCGGCCACCAGCTCCGGCAACCTGAACACTGCCGCCTCCAAGTACTTTGGTGGTGAGCAGCGCGTTGCCAAGAACGGCAAGAACGCCATCGTCATTGGCTTCCCCGGTGCTGCTCTTGGCGCCAGCCAGCCCGAGACTTCCGTCCTCGTCGGTCTCCTCGGCGGTGCCTCCAACATCAAGTGGTCCCCCGGTTTCAGCCTCCTCTCCAAGGCCACCGCCGCCAACCCCGGCGCCGAGGCCTTCGCCACCAACTACGCCTACTCCGATGCTGGTCTCCTCGCCATCCAGATCTCCGGCAAGGGTGCCGCCGTCGGCAAGGTCGCCGTTGAGGCTGTCAAGGGTCTCAAGGCTATCGCTGCTGGTGGTGTCTCCAAGGAGGACCTCACCAAGGCTATCGCCAAGGCCAAGTTCAACCTCCTCTCTGCCAGCGAGGTTTCCGGCACTGGTCTCGTTCACGCCGGTGCCAACCTTCTTGCCGGTGGCAAGCCCCTCCAGGTTGCCGAGACTCTCAAGGCTCTTGAGGGCGTTACCGCTGAGAAGCTCCAGGCTGTACGTGTGAAGCTATATGAATTTGACAAGACAGACATGCTAACAAACGTTCAACAGGCTGCCAAGAAGCTCCTTGAGGGCAAGGCCTCCGTTTCCGCCGTCGGTGACCTCCACGTCCTTCCCTACGCTGAGGATCTCGGTCTCAAGGTATAGACGTAGACTAGACTTTGGAGGCGCAGAGCGGGTTGTGCAATTCGTAGTTAATTGAAAGAGGAAATACCTAAACGCGAAACGAACCGATTGAAACTGGAAAGGCGTGGAACTTTTTGAGAAGATGTCAGGATTGGGAAACAAAAAAAACCGTGTACCAACAGCAAAACCGGCCGGGATGAAGTGTTGTAGACTTTCGTGTAAAGCGGGAGATGAAGAACGGCTGGGGACCGACGACTTTTGTGCATATATAAACCTCTAGACTTATCACTCCTCGCCACTACTTCGCTAGCAGAGCTATACAAATGCAGCAGGCATTATTTCTTTTGTTGACATTGGATACATGAATCGGTGAAATCGACATGGTTCAACATTTTCAGCTTAAGAGGTGATATGAGATACAAGGAGTTTCACGGTGAGCTAAGTAGCTTGAAAGACAATGTTTAAGCTCATTTGAGAGTTCACAAATGCGATATCATGCTCAATGGCAAACTGTTGAAGTCCCTCAAAACATCAGGGGTCGATGTTTACTTTTGACCTTGTTAGGTAAGCTGCCGAGACCTACAAGTAGAGCTTGCCCGTCGCCCGTAGCTCCTGTTTCGTCATGGCATGGAAGGAAGCTTGGGCTTGGTCACTTTTTGCCTGAGCTTGCCAACAAACAGTCCAAGAAAAAGGAGGGGCATCACGTGACGCGGAGCTTCGGCAGCGGAGCTTCTCGGGTCCTTGTGCCAGGGTGGGACCAGTTTTCAAAGCGGCAGAGTTGAATCGCGCGCAGCAAGTACCGCAGCAGCAGCAGCAGCAGCACACAGCAACAACCAGTCTTCGTTTAACCGTCAAGACAACCCACCACAAATCGCCCAACATGGTGTTCGCTTGGAAGGCCGCTGGCATTACGTGAGTATACCTGTTTTCTGTCTCGTCAAATTTGCAGAGGAGGAGGAAAGCGAAGGGGAAGAATTGCCTCTCGATTTGGAGGAGGATTGGACCGACGAGCCTGCCCACGACCGAGTTCGACAGAAAACGACTACTGCGCCGAAACTGGAATTGCAATTGCCCCGCGACTTGAACAGTGATGGACGACAAACTACGGACGAACCTACGAAACTTGAATGGGAGGCGGAATTGGATTGGGACAGACTGGGAGAGAAGAGGGCGGAGAACCCATGTTATAGACGAAAGCTGGGCCCAGGAAACGTCGAGGGAGGGGAAAGGAGAGAAAATGGCAGGAAAAGGACACGAGAAGCGCCGAATGTCTTGATGACCAGGAGAGATGGACACGAATGCGAAAACACGGAGGCGAGCAGGCGATGCACCAACGTAACGAGTTTGATGCGACAAATCAAGCCAGCATTCATCCAGCGCTACGACAGACACATGAGATGCAACCACCAGATAGCGCAACGGAATAGAACGATCACAACGAGCAGGAGCAGGCAAAAGAGAGGGCACCGGACGAGATATGAACTATAAGAGAAGACAGTGCAGGACAACGAAGGCTAACACGGTCTCGAAATCACAGCTACAACCGCTACATCGCGGTCGCCTCTCGTGCGCTCCGTCGCTCCCTCAAGGAGGATAAGAGAATCGTTGCTGAGCGTCGTGGCGAGTCTGCCGAGATCAAGTTCGCTAAGTGGTCGGTAAGTAGCTTTCACTTCCTTTAACTGAAGAAACATCCGAGCAAGAGGAGGAGGAGGAGGAGGAATGTTGGGATGGCCACAAGCGAGACAAGAAGGGACAGAAAACGGGGGGATGATTGCGTAACCCAACCAAAGGAGAACCTTTACCAAGACAGAGTACTGATCCTATACCCCTTGAAACTACAGAACGGCAAGGCTGGCGAGACCGTCAACCTCAGCTCCGCCAACGCTGCCGCCGCCGCCGAGAACGCCACCTCCGTTCCCTCTTCTTAAGCGAATCGACACCACGACCGTGACGATGTGCTAGGATAGTGGTAGTGGTGGACGGGAGATGAGAGAAGGACCAATCTGCGAATCGCTCCCGCATGGCTTAGATCCCACCTCCTGCCGAGTGTCATTAAGCCGGGAAACGTATGACCTGTATCATCATATTGGGGGAGCGAGGAAGAGGAACTCAATAGACGGTTTATTGGCATTTACTTATGGAGTGACTGTGGCTGCTGGGGAGTGAACTGAGGTGACATATGCCATTATGATGACTGAAATGGTAAACATATTGTGTGCGCGCCTCGTTGACTGAATTATTTCTAAAGTGGGCGTAGCACGAGTCGTTGAAAGAAATGCAGTGGTTGTGTTGTGAACTGGTTCTTTCCCCCTTTGGGCTTCACTGCATGAAGTGCAACCTACAGTAGACCATCCTTCAATAATCCAGTCGATTAAAAAATGACTGCTTTTTGTGAGCATAGTCAATATCGTCAATAAATATGTTTGGCCTTTGCAGCAGCCTTATCACCCACTATCAAGCGGAAAGTGAGGAAGCTCCTGCACCCGAGGGGAGTCGTTAACATTCGGGCTCACGGACGCTATCAAGTCCAGGCACAGATTTCCCCTAGCAGAACACCACTTCCTCCACTCAACACAAACAAATGTTCATCTCAAGTGCATAAGCACCTTCCCACGGAGCTAATAGTCTTTGTGAAAAGACCATGATCCCAGACTATCACGAAGCTGCAGTTCAAAGAGGTTCGTTTTCGTCGATATCCCCAAAAAAAAAATAAAAAAATTCCAATTCAACAACCGCACTACCACTACCACGTTGGGCAACCCCGCTATAACATTGACATCTCACTGACCTTTGTACCACCACCACATCAGAACTGCTCACACTATCACTCGCAAACAACGACCACAATTATCTATACGAGGAGCCTCCAGCTCCCAGCATGTCTAATCCGGGGATTATCGCCACCAATATCACCAAAAAGTTTCTCTCTGCTTGTAAAAGTAGGTCACCGTCCCCTGCCTCCACTGACTGAGATCTCACGATGATGCTAACCAGTCGCTTCTCACTCCTACAGCTTTAGAAACCGGTGAGATCGTAAAGGATGGCTATTTCACTCTGTTCGAGGCCGTCGGGGCTCTCGAGGTATGCATCTTCCTTCTCTCACAGCTGCATACACATGACTAACACCACCTCCAGATCGGTGATCCCAAGATGGACAGCGGCTGTCTAGCGCCCGGCGAAACTCTGGAGGAAACCTACGATGTGAACCGACCGCTATCTGCCCCGGAGGTCCTCGGTATCATTGACCAGCTACTTTGTCTCGAAATGGCCTGGCATCTGGGATATCCCCTATCGCAGACTATCCTCACCAGCGTCTATATCGAAGCTCTGGTGGAACCGGCGTCGGCTACGCTGCAAGAGGCAGACTTTGTGAGGAACCGCAAGATGCCAAGGGATCCCATGACGACTGTTTTGAGGGCGTATTGTCTGGGACTGGTGAGGACTTGTGCGGATGTCTTGGAGACGATTAGGGATGAGCTCTATTACGAGGTGAGTTTGGCCGGATGAGAGGCAGTGGGTGAGGTGCTGACACACATGACAGGAAGAGGACTTTGTGACCAACACCTACCGTCGGAACCTCATGGATCACATTGACCGGTATGAGATCAGGGATGAGATCTTATCAGCCAAGCACACGCTCCATGGCCTTAGGGCTGAGATTGGAACCGACATGACACAGGCTCTTTCGTTCCGTCTGGAACTAAGGTCAGCCTTCCTTCGGGCTCTCGAACTCATAGAGGATCGTGGTAGCCCCGACTCTCTCCAGATACCCTGGTATCAGATGCACAGCGTCTGGGAAGCCATCCTCAAGCTCCCCGGCCTAGCAAAGGAGGTTCCCGAGGCTTTCAGCACCAAGCTTCAGCGGAAATTGGCGAGTAGTATGCCTCCTCGGCCGATAGTAACGCTCAGCTTTGACGAAGCGGCGAAGCACTTCAAGAAGCTATGCAACGACGCCATCGACGCCGTCAAGATCCTGGACTATCACGATTCCCAGAGCCTTCTCAACTTCGTCTTCCACTTCCAGGCCCAGAAACCTCAACCGCTAGTCTACATCCGCTGTCTCCTCCAAAACCTCTTGTTCAAAGACATGGTTCTCCTCGACCGGCTCAGCATCCGCCAAGTCATGGACGACGACCTCTCCATCGTCGTCATGCCCGCCCACGAGCTCCTCGATCCCAACAACGACCTCGTCGAAGCCCCCCACTCGGCCCGCTTCGCCATCGCCCACCAGATGGAACTCTTCCGCAAGCGCGCCGCCCAAGCCTACATCGACATCTTCCGCGTGCTATGCCAGAACCGGTGTCGCGTGCGGCGCATGTTCTGCCACCTGATCCAAGACTGGGAGCAGGTCCAGCTGGACGCCGAAGACATCGACCAGCTTTTGCAGATCCAAATCGACGAGAAGCCGCTGGCCTATCAATCCCAGACCACGCTCACTTTGGGTTCCGAACCTGGTTACTCTCTGCCTTTATCCTCGTGGGCATACCTTTACAAGCTTCGTCTAATGGAGTGGATAGTCCAACTAGGCTTCGAACTCGAGGTCTATGCCCCAGACGAGTTGGCAGGCATGTACTGGTATCTTTCCCACCTGGCCAAAACAAGGGCTCAGCACGTGGAACGCATCCAGGCTTTTACCAACCACCGGTTTAACGAACTTCGCTCTTCGTCTTCTTCTACCTCCCCCCCTTCCTCCTCCTCCGTCGTCTCCCCCTCCTCCCCATCCTCCTCCACCCTCGGCCTCACCCACGCCCACCCCCCTCCTCCCTCTTCCTACACCAAACCCATCCCCGCCACCCCTTGGATCCCCCCCACCCAACCCTACCACCCCCCGCGCGGCTGGCCCGTTTCCATCTCCCCCTCCATCTCCTCCCCTTCCGCCCCCTCGGGCCCCTCCGGGGCTGGGGCTGGGCCCACAACCCACCACTACTCCACAACCCCCGAAGCATCCTTCACCCGCTCCCTCACCTATTTACGGAGTACAATCCTCGACGCCGCCATAACCTGGGAATTCGCCGACACCGTCTCACTAATCTACACCATCCTCTCCCGCCTTTCCCTCATCTCCCCTCCCCCGCGACCGTACGGGACGGACGAGCATCGGTATGAAGTGCGGATGAAGCCGTTTAGGGCTGTCAGTTTGCCGGAGGTTCCCGGGTTTGAAACCTGGAAGGGCTGTACGGCGACGGCGACGGCGCAGGCGGCGCAGCAGGGACGGGATTGGGATGGTGGTGAAGGTGGTGAAGAAAAGACGGGTAGTTTGTTGGGGTTCGCGGTGCAAGCGGTGGGACAGGCGAAGAAGGCTTTTGGGGTTTTGGAAGGGTTGGGGGAGCGGGAGGCTTTTTCTGGTGGTGGTGGTGGTGGTGGCGGTGGAGGGGTTTTTTTTGGAGGTCAATTCGAAAGTGCGCCGACGGTGACGACGGGAGTAGCGGCCACGGCAACGGAAGCTGGAGGTGATGGTGTCAAGCAAGGACAGGGACAGGGACAGAAGCCGCAGGAACCGGGGAGAGGAGGACATAAACGGTGGATGGAGAATGTCAGGCGGTATAGACGCAGTGTGGAGAAGGCGGAGAGGATCCTGGAAGGGGGGATCAGGAAGGCGGTGGAGATGGATGCGGAGGGGAGGACAACGGAGGAGATTAAGAAGGTGGTAGAGGTTAGGGTGCCGAGGAGTGAGAAGGTGTGGGAGCAAGGGGGGCATTGGTGGTGGATTGTGCCTGATGTTGAGGTTGTGGAGGGGAGTGAGTAGATAGATGTGTCTGTAGTATGGGGATAGTTGGTTAAACAGAACGAGAGGAGGGTGGTATGGCATATAAGGTTTCGAGGGATTGATTAGGCGTGGTATGGCTATGGATGGATCCTAGATGGCGTGTGCGAACATAGGTCGGTCGATATCAAGATCATCCTTTTCTACTACTCAGCTCTAGACACTGGTTGAGGCAAGGGTATGACATTCACAAGATGGAAGAGAGATGCAAATGAAGACGGACGTCAGAGCTAAACCAAACCAAGTTCAAAAAAAGACAATACGACGAAAGTAGTTTACATCATCTCTCATAATCCAAACTCCCTAACTTTGCGTTCTCCGCTTCGGCAACATCGCTCGCCTCCCGTGTATTGTACAGGGTGTATCAAACATCCATCCTCCATGCGTCTTCATCGCTGACTTTTTTTCGCTTTTCCCCTTTCTTTCCTCCTCACTCCTTTCTGGGTAGGTAGAACCAAGAAACTGTTGTTGTTCATCTGTTGTTGTTGTTGTTGTTGTTGTTTTGTTATGCTGCTGTTGCTGAAGATAAAAGGGTATCGAGACGATATCCGCCAAGCAATCAGATAATATTTCGTAGCCACTCATCATCGTCCAAGACTAGAAGTCCATGTGCTCGAAGGGATTGTCGACGTCGAATTGGTACAGCAGAAAGGGACATAAGATGGCGTCCTTCGCCCACTAAGCGTACGCTGCGTACCTCGCGAGCTGCGGTGCCACAGCCCTCTAGGCAAGGGCCTTGCGAGTAACACTGCCCCTTAGCTTGACGGTCTGCTCGTAGAGCACGTCCTTGAAGGCGAAGAGGAAGGCAGCCGTGAGGACGGACTGGGTGACCTTGGGGCCGATGCCTATTTTTTTTTCAGAGTCTTTGTTAGCCATCCATCATCCCACTCCCTCTCTCTTCCCATCATCACCAGAGGACGAGGACAGCAGTGAAGACTCACCCTTGTACAACCCAGCATACCCCTCCTCCCTAACCACGCGATTAATCGCCTCCATCATGCCCTCCTTCTTGCCGCCATCGCCAGGCGCAACATGCATCTGGCTCTTGACCGTAATATACGGATACGTCACGCTCGTAGCAAACAGCTTGCCGGCCGCGCCCAAAAAGAACGCCAGCGTGGCCGTCATCTTGCGTCTCTTCTCCACCGCGTTCTTCATCTGCTCGAACAGGGTATACTGCAAGATGGGGTTAATAACCAGCACCAGCGCCGGCACCACTCCGGCAAACAGCGCCTGGGGTCCCTCATTCTTGAGCAGCGCCAAAAGGGTGCCAATAGTGCTAGGCTTCTTTGCCGCCGGTGCGCCCGGTAGAGCGTCCTTCTCGTCTTCAGCAGCAGCAGCCTTGCGCGTGGTCATGCGCGTGTTAACCACCCAGATGGGGTTGGTCAGGATCACGGTCGCGGAGCCGGCGATGGCGCCGGCGATCATGGATTCCACGGTAGTCAGCTTCTTGGAGGCCCGCCCGGTTTTGACGGCGGCGGCTTCGAAGAAGGCGCGCGTCCATTCGTACCAGTAGTAGTAGACGAAGTTGGTGACGGAGATGCCGAACAGGGCCGATGACAAACCGGAGTAGAGGCCGGAGATGCCCTCGCGCGCAACGATTTTCTGGACGGCGGCGAGGAAGGTGGTGTCGACGGAGCGCTTGGATTCGACCTGGGCGCGGGTGGAGAGGGTGATTAGGGGGTAGCTGTTGTTGTTGTTGGGTTTGTTTGTTAGTGATGTGATGATCTGGAGGGGGGAGGCGTGGACTGGACTGGACTGAGGCAGGGACCTGGATGGGAGGAGGACGGGGAGATGATGGCCTGGACAGGGAGTGATGGGGAGATGGATGCTCACGTCAGGGCCATGGACAGAATGCCACCACCGGCGCCGGCGAGGGCGTGGGCGACGTTGTCATTTTGGGGGATGACGGGCTTGGACTGCGACATGTTGAATAACTTTTTGTTTGGTTGGTGATGTTGTTGTTGCGATGTAAGAGGCGGGGGTTGTCGCGGAAACAACGGACGGGACAGAAACAACAAATGGGGAGTTGTCAAGTCAAGAGGAGAGGGAGGAGTTCAACAACAAGAGGCTATCGCCGTCTTCAAATTATTCTATCGTGAAAGAGGTACGAAAAAAGAAAACAAGCGAAGAAAAGTGATTTTCCTTGAATCTTATCCTGATGCCGCCTTTGCTCGGTTCAAGTGATCCAACTCTTTCCTCTTTGATGGAAAAGCAGCCGAGGTCCGATTGCTGTTGGAGTGGACTGCACTAACAGCAACCTCAGCGTTACAACGGGCTTGTCCACTGTGGGTGGTTAGGTTGGGGTTTCCATGGGGTAAGCTAACAGTTACAGCGACGTCACAGGGCAATTGGCTCTTTTAGTATTGCCTTTCTCCACGACTGGGAAAATCATGTGAAAGCCGAAGCTGGGATTCGGTACTTGTTGCATTTTGTTCCCGTTCATGTCCCGTATTTCTCCAATGGTGCGGGGGATGCCGTTTCATGGTTTTTGAGTCTCAGTGCCGTTGCCGAGTGTTTGACTCTTTCTGTATATTACGTATCGTGATTTTCATCCCCTTCCAACTCTCTGTCAATAGGTAACTCCCACTGACCGCCTTATACAACCAATTCAAACGGCATGTACGAGTTGGAGGATGTGGTTAGAGCAGACAGCCACACGAAATGACGGCAACTTAAACAATTGGCCGATCCATATCAGAGTTGCATGACAGCCGAACCTTTTTGGGATGATATCCAGCATGCCCCTTTTATACACTTTGCCTGCCTCATCATCTTGGACCATCTCATTCTCTTCTGTTTGTCTTCGGGGTAAATACAGTACTCAACGAGTCAGCCCTCTGCTTGACGCATGTTTTCCGGGGCCCCGCATCGGCCTGTAAGTGGGAGGCACTGGCTGCACGTCATGATTAACCTCGGAAAACATGTTTTATTCTTTGATTATGAATTATCACCAACGTCGCTGTCGACCGTATCTTTCGGTTCAGTGACATGTAACGAATACGTACAGTACGGATTACAGTCCAAGCAACGCCAAGCTATAAATAACACACTGAGAAAGTAGTGGCGCTCAGCCGTGGCCCAGTCACAGCCCACCAGTGGCTGGAAAGTGGGGAACGGCCGACTGATTTTATCCCCTTCTGTACAGTTTAACCCCTTCTCCCCGTTGACCTCGACGGTTGAGACTGACCATTTTGCCCAACCACTGTCTATGCCTCTACAGAATACTGCTTGATATAATCGGACATACAGTTGGTGAGCATTGGATCAAGGTTCTCTTGAGACAAAAGTCCCAATTCCCGGTGGAGCAATCAGCAAAATCCGCTAATTTGCTCTGCGGCTCCTTCCGTCAATTTGTTTTGTCCTTTTCAACTCTTTGAAAGGACTCGTTGATATTCATCGGCAAAGAACACTCACTGTCAACTCTGACAGACTTCGAAGCCACACTTCAACGCGCTCGACGCGTTGTGTGAGACATCCTAGTTTACATCATCATTGAAAAGTTCTCCATAGGAACAAGTCGATATGATACACTGGATCCCACCCGTCACGTAAATACTCAATATCCACCCCATCTTATACTGCCTCACGAATCCTAACTTGGTCACTAGTAAAAAATCGTTCAAGAAGCAGCCGCATCCTTACGCCTCCACGCTGCACATCAGTGACAACTGGAACACGATGCAGGAAGGCCAACAGGCCTTGGAAGAAGCAGAGTCAGACCTCCAAGAGAATCCTCAGCCGGGACCTTCATCAGCTTCTCAACTTCAGCCCGGTACCTTGACGGCATCGCCCACCTCCATCGACCCGATTTCAGACATGGGCCAGGCTGCTAGTACCAGCGCCGAATCTGCTGCCGAGTCTACCACCGAATCACCCACAGACAAGACACCCACTCAGTCAACTAGTCAACCAGCCGGTGGTGTCTCAGGTACACCACAGCCTGCGGCCATGTCTGCCCCTGCTGCTGCTACTGCTTCCGCGTCTGCATCTGTTGCTCCCGCTCCCACACCACCAGCTCGCTCTCCTCGACCAAATTACCCACCATATGCCACCCGTCCTCCTCTCCCAGACGTAAACGTCACGTCAGAGACAATAGAGGATGCCTATGTCGACTTCATCTTCCACTGCAATCCCCATGTGCCGTTGGACACCGACACCATGGTGCTCCGGGATACCTTCTCAGATCCCCCAAAAAGTGGTGGCAAGTCCTTCAACACATTTGTCCTCTTCGGCCTGATCAAGCAGCTGGAGACCAAGGAAATCAAGACATGGGCGGAATTGGCCCTCAAGCTGGGTGTTGACCCACCTGACACGGACAAGGGCGAGAGTTCGCAGAAAATTCAGCAGTATGCTGTTCGTTTGAAGAGATGGATGCACTCAATGCATATTGACTCGTTTTTCGAGTACCTTGTCGGACGGGAGCACGAGTACTGGGTAGATATCCCTTCGCTGGCTATTCCGCTCAGCGAAATTGAAAGAGACGGTGTCCGTGCCGAGGATGATATGGCCCTACGAGCTTTGTTGCCGCATATCAGACCAAGGCGAGGCAGGAGGAAGCCCGGAGAGGATGATGCTCAGTCCCCTTTGCCTCCAGGTGGAGAACCTTGGTCTGCTCACCCAGCTCAAAGAGGAAGTGTCTTCACGTTTGATAACACAAGGCTTGGAGTGCCTGGTCAAGGAGCTCCGTGGGGTAACAATGATGGGGGTCAGACGCCAATGACTGCTTATCCCCAGTCTGCCATTACTCCTACCACGAGAACCAACTTTTGGTCTGATGAGCCTAGGTCGGCTATCACCCCATCAGGTTCAAAGCCCAAGTCTCTGAGTAGGCGACACGGGGCTAAAGTGGTATCGTCGGCATGGCGGACTGGTGGAGCCACAGGTAGAGTCCGAGGACGACCGCCTATCAACCGACAACTCAACAGTGATGGCCCCTTTTCAGCCTTCCCGGCATCGAGTGATTCGCCTCACTACGGAAAGCACACCTTTCCCAATAACCCACCGCCGTCACAAACCCCAATTCTGCCTCCTCCACGACCAAATCCCCCAGCAGCCACTCAAACCCCAACATCCGCAACGGCTCAACCATCACCAACGGTCCGAGAAGCCCCAGCTCCAGCAGCATCCGGCCGTCCAGCAAAGCGCACCCGCCTCTCCCTCCAAGTCCCCGAGCGCGTAGGCAACGAAGTCCGCCTCGCCACTCCTCCCCTCCTAGCCCCCGCCCCGCCTACGCTCATGGTAAACGGCCAAGCGCAGCCTGCTGCTTCCAACACCCACCCCCAATACGCCCAAATCAGCAGCCAACACCACCAAGCCTCACAACCCACCCTCCTCCCTTCTGGTCCATCTTCCTCCTCCTCCGCACATCCTAACCCCAACCCCATCCCCTCCTCCTCCTCCCTCACAGGCCACGGCCCCCTCGGCCCCTCCCCCTTCACGCCCTCCTCGCTCGCCGACCCTGCCGTCGACAAATACAACCTCCTCGACGTCGAGTCCATCTTCATCCACCAGATCTTGACGGCTACCTGGCTCGATAGCGCGGGTAACCCGATCCCTGCTTGTTCGGTCGACGAAGCGTTTGCGTTTTGTCACACGGTTATCGAGAACTTCCATCGGAATGCGACGAATAGGGAGGGGTTCCTGATTAATCTTGCCGCGCTGGCGGGGGGGTATAGTCTCATGAATCGAGATGGGGGACCTGCCGGGAGGGTGGATGCGGGGCAGGGAGTTGGGGGTGGGCCGGGGAGGGGGTTGAGGGTTACGAAATTGGGGGAGGGGGTTGATGAGCCTGGGACTGGAGGGGAGGGGGAAGGAGGTGGGAAGTGGATCAAGGTTTTGGCGGTTTGGGAACTCAGGTTGGGAGGGATATGTGGGAATTTTTCGATGGAGGAGGTGGTTAGAGTAGGGAAGTGGGGTGGTGGGGGGAAGAAGAAGGCTGATGAGTCTTCTTCTGCTGAGAATGCTGCGGTTGGTGCAGAAGGAGAGAATAACGGGGAGGGATCAAGTGCTGGTGGTGAAAAGAGTGGTAGAGGAGGGAAGAGACAGGGTAAGAAATTATCGAAGAAGGAGGAGGAGGAACTGGAGAAAAAGAAGAGAGAGGAGGAGCTGAAGAAGGCTGAGGAAGAGAAAAAGATGTGGCAAGCAAAGTTTATGGAGATGGTGGCTGCGGTGAAGAAGAGGGATGAGGAGTTGGCCATGTTGAAGGGGACTATGTTGCATGCTTTGAGGGAGAGGGAGGCATAGTACAAGAATTTTGACTCATACGTTGATCACATACCCCGAGTTACGAAACAAGAATATCAAATAAAACTATTGCCAGTGTATCTTCCATCTTGGGGAGTCAACTACTCAGGTGGAGAGGATATCTCGAAGGGTTAGGGTTGTACCCGAGGGCACCGCCGCACAGTGTCCAGACCTTAAGCGGCAGCCACAGCCACACGCGTGTCACCCCTGACAGGTGTCCCACTTCCGCCGCGTCACCCCTTTCTAGAACGCCCCCGATCGCCCCTTATCGCGGGACGTCTAACAATTGGCCCGCTATCACAAAGTGTCGGATGGAGTTGACCTCTCCTGAACAGACATCTCTGTCAGCCTCTCTTCAACCACACTTTAGTCCAGCAGACAGTTCACGTCGTTGGCTTCTTGCTTCAGCTTCTCGCGCCATGAACAACCTCTAATCGAATTGGATCCTCCTTCGACACTCTCGTTTCCCAACTCTTCTTTTTGCTTTTAATAGTGTCCTTGTTAATGATTTGATCCGATCCTCCGAGAATCGAGAATTGTTTACTTCAACTTGTCGCAATAACCATCGCGAATCGCACATACATACGAAACACAATGCCTCGACAATACGTCCTCTTTGGACGGCCACTCCCCCGACTAGGGTCACGGCACCTCTCCCTCCTCCTCGTTTCCGTCTCCCTCTTCGCCATCTTCAGCCTCCTCTTCACCCTCCCGAGCGCCATCCCAACGGGGCCGAGTCTACAAATCGCCGACCACAAGCTCTCGATCCCCGACTCGATCAAGAACCCCTGGAACAAGGTCAACCCGTTTAAGCAACCGGCCCACGCGCCCCCGCGCCAGAAGAACGACACCTACGGCCAGTCCTCCTGGTACGCCAACTGGAAATGGCTGTCCTACCCCTTCAGCAGCTCCGTCACCCTCGACGAGAGCCGCTCGCTGCTTCCCGAGCTCGGCCAGCGCCCGCCCATCTACGTCTACTATGACAACACCATCGAAAGGGAAAAGGCCACCAAGGAGGTCGAGAGCGACATCCTGCTCTCGTGGCGCCGCGCCTGGTGGGCGCAGGGCTTCAAGCCTATCATTCTCAGCCCTGCTGAGGCTATGAACAACCCCATGTACGAGGAACTGCAGCACCGCAGCGAGGGTATGGACGCCTCCCTCAAGACGGACATCATGCGCTGGTTGGCCTGGGAGAACATGGGCGGCGGTCTGCTGGCGCATTACTTCCTGTTTCCCATGGGCGCCTACGACGATCCTCTTTTGGTCTATCTGCGCCGCGGCGAGTTCCCCGGCTTGACGAGATGGAAGGATCTCGGCGATGGTCTCTTCGTCGGCCCCAAGGCGGACGTCGCAAAGGCCATCAAGCTCGCCCTCGCCAGCCCCAACCTCAAGACGGCCAAGAACTTCCTCGAGGCCACCAGCGCCTCCAAGGAGGAAGGGCCCTTCACAATCGACGACACCGAGCCCTCCTCCCTCGCCTTCTACTCCGCCTCCGCGCTCAAGCTCTACCCCAAGGTCGCCGAGACCATCGGCGGCGACCGCGTCGCCGGCCTCAAGTCCCTCAACGAGCTGATCAACGCGCACCTGCACCAAACCTGGCAGAACCTCTTCTCCGAGGGCATCGCGGTCGTCAAGCCTTTGCCTCAACACACGACGCACATGATTGCGCCGTCATATTCCGTCGCCCTGCGTCTGGCTTCCTGCCCGGCCAATAACCCGCTCCCGTCGTCGTGCCCGCCCAACCGCCCCAAGTGCGTCCCGTGCTCGACCAGCGCGCACCTGATCAAGATCTCCACGCCTGCGCACTATAAAAACAGCTCGGCGCTGTACACGATCGGCACCGTCCCGCACCCATATACCATCCAATCCCTCTCTTCGATGCGCGAGCAGATCACGGTGCCTTGGATCCGCCGCGACTCTGTCCGCGATGCCTGGGTCGGCGATCTCATGACCGATCTCTTCAAGGGCAAGGCCGTCCCCGCCGGTGCGAGGGTTCTGCGCTTCAAGGAAGCGTTGGCAGGTGAATACGGCTCTGCGCGCTCTCTCTGGTTGACAGCCGAGCGTGACACCCCCGAAGGTATTCTCGACTGGCACTTTGGTTTCGACCTCCCCGCTCTCCCCTCCTCCTCCTCCACTTCCACTTCCGGCTCCCCCAAGGAAAAAGAAGGAGGAGGAGAACACAAACACGACGACGCCACCGAGAAAATCGAGAGCGAAATCCACAAACCAAAGGATACTTCCATCCTGCCTCCCATCCACGACGAAAAAGAAGGTCCCGTCCCCTCGGAGCAAGATCTCAAGCTCGAACCTAATCTGCTGTCGCTGGCCAAGACCATCGTTTCCTCTGCCTCCGACGAAGCAGAAAACAAGAACAAGAAAATCCACGTAACGAAAGAGGAAATCAAGATCCGCGAGGCGGTGGAGGCGTGGAACTTGGCGGATTGGGAGGCGTGGAGGTTTGCGCGGGCGTATTTGGCCAGAAAGGAGATGGAGAGGGAGAAGTGGGCGGAGGAGGAGGAGAAGTATGCGGGGGGGATGGGGAGTGAGAAGAGGGGGAAGGGTGGGGGGTGGTTTGACTCGGATTAGGGGCGAGGAACAGTGTTAGTATGATGTTGGTATGGATGTCATGGATTGAAATGGACAAACGTGTTGATGTATAGAATAACTTGAACAATAAGCATAAATATGGTATGGTACTGGTGGTTACGGTATGGTATGAGTTTTTATGGATTGTAATCGTACATAATCATTATTCTTGCTCAAAGAAAGGAGAGGGAGGAAAAGGAGGAAAAGTAGTCGTTAGCGTTTCCGAATGAGTAGTACCACCAAAATGTCCATCATCACCATTACAGTTGATCAATCTTCTAGGTACCTCATGGTGTATATGAACGTGATGTAAAGTCAAAGATATAACTCTTTTTAACATGAACATGGAAGAACTTGATAGTAGGCGATAGGTAATCCACCCATTCCTCACATACCATATCCATCAAGATGTTGTCCATGAACACCGCACTCCAAGTCAAATCGTTCAAGGACCTGAAATCTGGCGCCACGCACAGATAGCTAGCGGGGTCCCCCATGTACAGCTTTCCACCAGCAGAGAGGAGGACCTTCACTTCTCACTTCTCTAGGACTAGCACCTAGGTATATAAGCCCCAAACCTCAAACCTTCCAACACAATCCAGTACCTTAGCTTACGTCGGTGCGTGGTACGCAGTATGCTCTCGCCGGAAGAATGCATTGGTGTTTTCGTAAGTCTGCAGTAGCTGCCCCTGCCTAGCCTCGAGTTCAAGTTCTACTCGGGGTTTGGGTTGCTTGACCTTTCCCCCTTTTCCTTTTTTTTTTTTTTTTTTTTGTTTTTGTTGTAGTCTGGTTATTTCCTTTCGCTTCATACCTAGGTACCAAGCCTTATTTTTTTTTCTTTATCTATTTCAAGCAGGGTAGATTAGGTACAGTAGGTGCGTTCATCTGTTTGATGTTGATGTTTGTTGAGCTGGAGTAATGAATGTCAAGCTGGTTAACTTTTAGGTACCTAGGTATCGCAGCGGGAATATAAGGGGCGCAACAGGCCTTATTGAGCGTTACAGGCCTTGTTGTATATCTGGGGCTTAAATATAAAACAAGCCCTATTGAATCTACAAGCCTTGTTGGGCTGAGGGAGGCCTCTGATTGGTCGGATTTGGGTGCAAAATGGTAAAAGACAAAGACCCCTATAGGACCTTCTGAAAGGTTACTATAAGGGTCTTTGGTTAGGGGTAGTTCTTAGTGGAGGTGGCGGTCGTCTTGGTAGTTGAAAGACTTCGACTTCGAAGTCCGGATGAGGGCATTCACACTTCCGCGCGAAACTTTTCGCGCGAAAAAAAGCTATCGCTAGTTGGAATCGAACTGGCAATCTGTTGAAAGAGAGCGACGGCGAGAACCATTGAGCTACTGGCCCAATTGATTGTTGAAGGTTCTTCCTTTCTTATAGACCTTTTGAGTCCTATAAAAATCCAGTGATAAAACCGAAGGTATCTTTGGAATTGTTATTTCTAGTTCATTTAAACGGTACTTCGTTTGGTTCCGTACGTTAACCGTGGAGTCCGGAATCCGAATCCGAAGCCTGAAATCTTCTTCAACTTCTTTTTTTCATTTTAATTCCATATAGTCGTTATATAATAAAACCGTTTATATTATTATAACCATTATAATTTCCTTATTGCAATGGTAGTACGTATGGTTTCGTACGATTGACGTTAAGGTCGGAAATCGATTGCGAAGGTCGAAGGTTTGGATTTCTTTCGGATTTTCTTCCGGATTTTATTTAAGGGTGATCCCTATAGGTCTACCGGACCTATTCTCCAGACCGGAATTTTACTCCGATTATATATTTTATATTTATATATAAAAATATAAAATATATTATATTATGCTATATTATATAAAAGCCCCGTAAATCCGTTATAAGTCTATTAATATATATATACATATATATATAAATATATATAAGAGTAAAATTTAAACTCTTATTATATTGAAGAGAAAATTAATTATATAAAAACTCTTCGTATTATAATATTATATTATAATTTGTATTATTATTTATTTATAATAATGTTTTCGTTTTTTATATAATAGTATTTTTATATAATGTTATTTATATATATTTTTAAAAATATAAAAATATATATATAAGGCAAAAAAGTAATAAATACCAAAAACTTTTAGTATAGGAAAATCTTATATATTTATATATAAGATAAAAAACCTATTTTTCTTCTAAACCAATTCTAGTTCGCTAGTCTAATAAATATTCATTATCTATTGACTTTATTAAATTATTAGCCAGTTAATCTTTAGTTGAAATATATAATATTTTAGCCTTATCGTTATTTATAGCCTCCCCTATAAAATAATAGCGTATATCTATGCATTTAAAATGCTTATAAAATTCGGGATTATTCGCTAGTTTTAAAGCGGCTGTATTATCCTCGTATATAGGGGGTATTAGGCTTGGGATATTTATTATATTTACTAATAATTTATTAATTAATTCTAAAGTAGAATTTAAATATAATAATTCTTTTATAGCTTCCGTTAAAAGTATATATTCAACCTCACACGTAGATAAAGCTACGGGTTTTTGAAGGCCAGTATTCCAAGAAATTATATTATTTCTAAGGGTAAATAAATACCTAATAGTAGACCTTCTAGAGTCTAAACAATTAACGTAATCGCTATTATAATAACCTTTTAATATAAGATTATTATTATATTATTCTTATAGGTTATTCCTAATATTGGGAATTTATTTAAATAACCAAAAATTTGATCAATTACTTTAAAATAGTCTTCACTAGGATTACTAGCATATTTTACAATATATTAGACTAGGAAGGCTAAATCAGGCCTGGTTTTTAAGGCTAAATATAATAAAGAACCAATATATTGTTAATATTCTTTTATTTGTTCTTTTAAAGCTTGGCCTTTATTTTTAAATAATTTAACCTTAGTTATTGATATAGAAACCGGATTTATATCCGTTTTATTATATCTTTCAAGCCTTTTCTTAGTATATTTTGATTGGTGTAAATGAATAGAATTATTATTTCTATTTATTATTATTTCTATATCCAGAAAAGTATTAACTTCTCTAAGGGCTTGAAGCTTTAGACTTTTAGTGGCTTCTCCTACTACTTTATTGATAGTAGTATAATTAGGGCCTATTATTATTAAATTGTTAACGTGATAAAGTATAATAATATTTAATTTATTATTTATAAATACACTGTTGTCGAAGGGGAAAACTTCGAAACCAAGGGTCTTTAAAACCTTAGTTAAATATTTAGACTAAAGTCTAGGGCTTTGCTTTAAACTATATAAGGCTTTCTTTAATTTTATACTTTATTAGGTGGTAAATTATTATAATAATTAGTAGGGGGAATAACGTATATATTTTTATTAATATAAGCGTGAACAAAAACGTTTTTAACGTCGAATTGTAATAATTCCCAGCCATTAGTAATAGCTATAATAAAGAATATTCTATAAGTTTCTGGCTTATAAACGGTAGAAAAGGTTTCTAGAAAGTCTAAGCCTTCTACTTGATTAAAACCTTGTACTATCCAACGGCTTTTGAATTTATATTCTTCTTCAATATTAGTATTATTACTAGTATTATTATTATTATTCTGGTTATTATTTTTACTAGTATTTTTACTAGTATTATTATTTATGGGTTTTAATTTATATACCCATCTACCCCCTAGAGCTTTTCTATTATAAGGTAGGTCTACTATTTCCCAAGTATCTTGACTTTCTAATTCTTCTACTTCTATATTTATAGAATTTATTTACTTTTTATTATAGGGACTTGCTATAGCCTATTTATAAGTAGAAGGTTCTTCAATATTATTAAGGTTATTAATAATATTAAGGATAGAATTGTCTATATGGTTTATAGACTGGAATTATTTATAATATTCCCTATTCTTCTTCGGTATTACTACGCGTAGACTTTTTGTAATATTTTTATTTGGAAAGTTATTACTAGAATCGATAATTCTTAGTGAACGGCGTAGACCTTGGTTATAATAATAACTATCAATTATTTGATTATTATTATTTTTATTTTATTAATAATATTATTCTTCTTAATAATATTGTTATTTGAATTATTATTTAATTCAATTTCAGAATCTAGTATTACTTTTTTTTTTTTTTATTAATAATTTTTTTAAGTAATTCCTCTGAATTATTTATACTAGGATTATTATTACTAGTATTCAAAGTGGATTTATTTAAAGTATTATAGTATTGACCTTCTAATACTTTAATATGTCGTACCTAAAATGCCCTGTTCTTTTAGAAACTATAGATTTTATAATTATAATTATTTTCCGCAAAGCCTACTAAAATTGCTTTTTCGGCTTGGGGTCCTAGTTTAGAGATATTAGGTCCCTTTAATTTATAATAAACTATAGATCTCTATATTCTAATATTATCTTATTAGGTTTTTCTTTATATTTTAATTCATATGGTATTTTAAACCCTATAGAACTATAGAGGCTTCTATTATATAAATAAGCGGCTGTTATTAAAGCTTCTCTCCAAAGATATTTAGGTAAATTAGTATTTAATAATAAGGCTCTTACTTTTTCTAGTAAAGTTCTATTTATTCTTTTAGGAAAACTATTTTGTTCCTTAGTATAAGGAGCGTTTAATTGGTATATTATTCCTTTATTATTAAAAAGAAGTTTACTTCTTTTATTTATATATTCAGTATCATTATTTGACTAAAATATTTTAATCCTTTTATTATAAATATTTTCTTCCTTATTTATAAAGGTATTAATGGCTTCGTATACTTCTTTCTTATCCTTTAATAAGGTTATTTCTAAATAGTGAGTAGCCTTATCAATAAAGGTAATAAAATATTTATAATTATTATAGGGTTTTATAGTAAATGGACTATATAGGTCAGTGCTAACCTTATCCAAATGATTATTATTATATTTAATAGTATTGATTTTAATATTTTTATTCTTCTTGTTAGGTATTTTTGCTTAGTAGCAAATAGGATATTCTTTATTAATATCCTTATTATAAGTATAAGAAGTAATCGTATTTTTAATAATATTTCTAATATTATCATTACCACAATGATCGAAACGTTAGTGTAGTGTGTTTAAATCAATCGATTTATTATTATTAATATTATTATTTTTATTAAGATTATTTTTAATAGTATTATTTCTAATACTATTTTTAATACGATTTATTTTCTTTTTATTAATATCATATAAACTTATAGTATTTATATCGCCTTTAAATGGTCGATTTGATAGTTTTATAATTTCAACGAGTAAAAAGTATGAACCGTTAATTTGTTCACCAATACTAATAGTATTTGATCCATTTTGAAGATATATATTATCTTTATTTATTATATTATAATAATTCCCTTCTAATGCAGAATTGCTTATAATATTTATACCCAATTCTGGCATATAGTAATAATTCTTTAAAAGCATTTTCTTATGAGAATCTTTAAAATATATATATACATTTCCGATTCCTAATATAGACCCTTTTGTAGCCTTACCCCAAGAAACTTTCTTTTTAACTTCTTTAAAAGTATAAAAGTATTCCTTATTCGAAATTATATAAATTATTGAATTAGAATCTACTATAAAATTATTTTTATAGTTATTTTCATCGTTTTTATTAAGAGAAACTCTATTTGAACCGTATAGAAACTCTATCGTGCCCGTACCCCACTTTTTTTCTCATACATATCCCTAACCCTCGCGTCTCCC